CCCAGTTCTTGCCGAAGCCATGTGGCGTTCTGCGCTCAACCAAATCATCAGTTGGTTGCCATGATTTCCTCCCACCTTTCAGCCCCGGGTAATCTGTGCCCCCAGGAAACCGAGAATCTCGCCATCAAGATGAGAGGAGTGGCGACCACATTTTAGGAGCTGCAGTAGAGGCTTTCATTCCATCCGCTTGATGACGCACGCGCTTGTGAGCGGAAGCTGATCGATTGGTACATAACGTTTGGAGACATTGCAATCCGAGGGAGAACGGGAACCAGTTCAGCCATTGCGACAACCTTCGAGACGGCTCAAAGCGCTTCACAGAATAGACTGTAATGTGAACCGACCGTGTATTTTGTGGGCGAAACGCGGCAGCCAATTGCGCACAGCAGCGTCCCCCACAAACAGTCGTGGATTGAAGTGACCGATTTATTATTGGTTTTAAATGATTTATTTTTTTTGGAGGGTGGGGGGGAGGGAGGGAAAGATGTTTTTAAGAATAGGAAATCCCACCGTTATCATGAGGCGTTTGCTGCTACAGTAGGAGGAGGGCTTACATCACGCTCTGTCTCTACCTGCCGTTTACCTGGGTGGCTAACTGGTGCTTACGATGGAATGCATTCCGTCCGAATGGGTACTGACTGATCTTCAGCTAAACAGTGGCTCGGCTGCAACAGTTACTACAGTCAACACTGTGACCGAGCACTTTGATCTTTCCCCTCGGTTTCCACCCACGAGAAGTTTCAAAACGCCAGGTGAAATTCTCGGCGGTTCGTGTAAAGCAGTCCCTGATCGCGTCGTCGAGCAGTTTCGCCCCGTTTTTACATTTTACGTTTCAAAAACCCTCTCCAAACTGTGCAGTCCTGCAGCTCAGTGGTCAGAGAGCTCGCCTCGCAAGTGAGAGGACACGCGTTCGATTCTCGGGCAGGTCGGGGCGAAACCTTAGGCAAGTTTCCTTGCTCCGCGTGTATGCACACACACGCACACAGACACACACACGCACACACATGCGCCTCTGTTTACCCGGCAGTAAGTAGGAACCCGCTTGTTGGTCGATTGGCGGATCGCTTTTCCAGGGATAATACATGTGGTCACTCAACCCGTGACTGTTTGTGGGGACACCACTCTGCGCAATTGTCTGCCGTATTTCGCCCACAAATTGCAACAGTCAATCCACTCCACCGTATATTCTGTGAAGCGCTTTGAGACGTCTCAACGACGTGATAAGCAAGGGTTATTATTCTCATCATGTAGCGGATCAAATCAGATGTTACTCGAGATTGGTACAGGCCAGATTCACCATTTTACTGATCGTTTAACTATTTTGTAACCTTCTGCACCAGAATGAGAGGGAGTCTGAGCCGGTAGTGGTTTTGTGCATAAGAACATAAGTAAATACGAGACGGAAAAAAGACCGAGGTCCATCTTGTTCGCCTTCCACCTTCCTGGCGGTCGCATGTACATGTGTCCTGCGTGCTATTTATCCCATAATGTTATTTTCTAAAAGAAAACGATCTAATCTGTGTTTGAAGGTGCGAAAGAGACGTGTTGAAGAGCCCAGAAGCGAGTGACCTGGCCCATTTTAATCATAGTTGCTGATGCGTTCACATTTTTTTTTAAACCACGTGACGATGAGTCAAAAGTAGACAATTACAGACCAGACTCATAAACGATTATTAAATAATTGGTTGCATCAAAAAACAATCCCAGGGCAATGACACACTGCCCCATGGCCACTTTGAGCGCTGTATTCCGGGAGAGGCAGATATAATGGCATTTACCTGGTGATTAAGTCGACGAGCAGACAGCTTTAAGGAGAATCTGGGGTATTTCATAGTGAAGGGTTGATTCTGCTTTGGGTGATGGAACTCTTTTGGATCAAGTGCTGACTCCAGCAGTTGGCCTTGTTGTAGCCTCGGAGTGAGGTTGGTGCTTCGTGCTACATTGGAACTTTTTTTTTTACTGTGGATCCACATTCACTATAACAATAATAATAACAATCCTTGCATTTAATACAGCCCCTTATCCCATCGTCGAGACGTCTCAAATTGCTTTGCCGAATATACTGTAAAGTGATGATAGTATACTACAATATAAATATAATATGTTGCACTAGCGATTGGATCGCGACTGCACAAACTTCAAGTCACATAAAAGATCGAAGAGCAGACTTTGATACCATCAGCTTACAATGACCTTGAACCTGGATCCCAGGAATGAAAGAGCAGCTAATCTGAGCACATGATACAGTCACCGACAGGAACACCATCTGGATAGGAACAGGATGGAAGGTTCTAAGACTGAGAGACTGAGTCTGGTACGAGAGGATAAGCAGGAACCTGGTTGTTAGTCGATTGGTGGATCATTTTCCAAAGGAAATAATCCCTTTTTTAAAAAGAATAACAATTTAGTCACTCAATCCACGGCTGTTTGAGGGGACGCTGCTGTGCACAATCGGCTGCCGCGTTTCACCCACAAAATCTATACAGTCAATTCGCTTTACAGTGTATCCTGTGAATCGCTTTGAGACGTCTCGAAAACGTGATAAGGCTCTGTATCAAATGCAGGGATTATTATTGTTATTATTATAAAATACACGTGGGTTCTGCCTCGACTGGAATGTCACCTATTGACTCAGAACCTTTATTAATAATAATGGAACAGACCATGGTCTGCTGAGCGGAGGGAACGAGCAGGTTGAAAGTACAGGGTTCAGGCTCGGCGGCACAGCCTATGTTGTGGGTGAGAGCGTGTGGTGACTGTCTTGCACGTTCTGATCTCACTAATAATAATAACGATGATGATGATGACGATGGTCTTGCTTTGTTTCCATGGCTGTTGTGTGTTTAACAGGCACATTAGCCTCTGCGGTGTATTTGCTGAACCCACTATTGAGACGGCATGTTGCGTGTTGGGAAACAGAAAGACTTGACCTGTAAACAAAGCTGAGAGACTGATTAATCGCTGGACCTGATGTTGGGTGTTACACACAGACTTTAGGGCCGTGCGGCCCATGTTACTAAACTGCACGAGGAGCGAATGTGATTCCGTTGAACTTTAGCACCGGCCGGAGGTGATTTACAAACCCGCTCCACGCGGGAGTGCTGAAGGTGCCGGATATAATGCCGTCAAGCACCATCGTGTGGCCTTAAACCCCAGCAATAACGGTCTACCGTTGCTGCGTGGAATTGTCTTCCGGGTTTCGCCCACAAAATACACAGCCACTACACGATAGTGTATTCTGGGAAGCGCTTCGAAGACGTGAGAAGCTCTATATCAAATCCAAGGATTATTATTATATCAAGTGCCAGGGTTATTATTATTATTATATAATACAAATGGCTGTTTATTTCTTGGCTCTGGTGCCCACTCCCAGGCCTTTGCACTAATTGGCCTTGTGCCCACAGCAGGGGGCTAGCAGGACCTCGCCACGAGAGAGCCCGAACGCCTTGCAGTGCTGCTCCGCGCCAATGTTCTGCTGCATTGATTGATTGGTTGGTTGGTTGGTTGATTGATTGATTGATTGATTGATTGATTGATTGATTGATTGATTGATTGATTGATTGATCAGCGATGAAATGTTACTCGGACCTGGGTTACCAGCGCCCTCCGGTGGAGACCCTGTGATAAGTCAAGCGCCTAACTTTTTTAACTGAACATTCATTCCATCACTGACGCACAGCAATAATCATCGTCATCCTTGATATAGCGCCTTCTCACATCGTGGGGACGTACGCCTCAAAGCCCTTTGCCTAACGTACTGTAAAGTGAATTGACTGTATGTTTTGTGAGCGAAACGCGGCAGCCAATTGATTGCGCTCGGCAGGAAACAGTGACTGGGTATGAGCTTTTTTTTTAGGTGAAGAGGCCCTTTAGCCCAGTTGATCTTTCAAGAATATCCACCCAAACATCTTCCCTCAGGCACATAACTAACCAACCAGGAAATGTCAAGCACTAAAATCTGGGTTTGTGCGAAAAATTCTTAAATTCGGTCTCGATTCGGAAGCTGATGCTCCCATCACTTTCAGAAGAGAAAAGGCAGGAGATGGGATAAAGAGGTGGGGAACGTGGCGTGTTTTCTTCTGCTGCGGGGATTGAATTGAATTGAACTGATTAGTGGGTCAGAGAGAGTGCACGGTGGCTTAGGTTTCGTTGCTGAAGAGTCTGGAGCTGGAAGTTGAACCAAAAACAAAAGTAACAAATATGTAAGAAACACGAGATTCGGTATTCATGTTAGGAATGTGGACAGGTGGCTTCCAGTGAATTGAATGACCTCGTGACTAAAGGAAGGACTTCATTTTTTCCTGAGGGTTTTTACATGTGGTAACAGTGCACAGTGCAGGAGAGGTATATGGGTATGGGGTCTATTATATTAATAATAACAATATAATCCTCGCATTTGATATAACACCTTATCACGTCGTCGAGACGTCTCAAAGCGCTTCACAGAATATACTGTCAAGTCAATTGACTGTGTATTTCGTGGGCAAAACGCGGCAGCCAATTGCACACAGCAGCGTCCCCACAAACAATCAAGGATTGAGTGATCAAACTATTTATTTGGAAGGATTATTACTCTCAGAAAGTGATCTGCCAATCGACTAACAACCGGGTTCCTACTTACTGCTGGGTAGACAGAGGCGTGGAGTAAGGAAACTTGCCCAATGTTTCGCCCTGTCCTGCCCGGGAATCAAACCCAGGTCCTCTCGCTTGCGAGGCGAGTGTTCTATCTGCTAAGCTACAGGATCTTGCGACGTACCCTACGTTACACACCTGTACTTCAAATTATTTTACCCATTCAAAACATGGATAAAATAATTCAATATTACTACTAAAAACGTATTTGTGGGTATAGTATTTAAACCGGAAAGAATAGCGATTTATTTAGTGTGAGGTCCGCTTTCGGAGGTCTTGCTCAATCCCCTTGGATCCATTCTGTGTGGCGGTGTGTTTTGAATCCAGGCTCCTTTCTCTTAACCCTGGATTTTTTTTTATTTCCGCAGTAACCCTCAGCATGGCAGCCACCACCACAGAGGCAGGGAAATTCAATGTGACGTCAGCAACTTCCAAGACTCCTGAACAAATGTTGTACCAGAGTAAGAATGCCTTCTTTATGTTCAATCATTTCCTTGTTGTTAGTAAAACTGCTTCGTGAAACTGAGAGGTGTAACACAGGCTATGGAGCGACATTCAATAATTGGTTGTTACGGTCAAGTGTTTATTTAGTAGTAACACTTTGAGACATTTACCTGAAGTGAAAGGCGCTGCAGCAAATAATAATATAATCATAATATAATAATAATCCTGGCATTTGATACAGCGCCTTATCGCCGCTTCGAGACGTCTCAAAGCGCTTCACAGGATAGACTGTAAAGTGAATGGAGTGCATATTCTGTGGGTGAAACGTGGCAGCCAATGGCACACGGCAGCGTCCCCACAAACAGCCGTGGATCAAATGACCAATTTATTATTATTATTATGGACACAATCAATGACGTGAGCTGCAAATTCTGTTTCAATCCTGTTTTTGTGTTGCAGGCTCTGGTGCTATCGTAGCTGCTATTGTGATCGTAATAATAATCCTATTCACTTTGGTGGTGGTGGTTTTGAAGCACTGCAACAGGTAATTGCGCTCTGGGACGCTACCCTGCACGAGGGGTGTTACATAAACACAAGTTGTTGTTGGAACAGGGGGAGGGAATCATGACCATTTCTCTCCGAAGCATTTACGTCGGTTGATGATCAAAAAAAACGTCCGCTTTTCAGTCGTGAAAAAAAAACTGATGATTTCCTTCCTTTCCCGCAGACAAAACCGAATAAGAAGGGAACTGGCTCCCAAAGCTTCCAAACAGGCGTCCAACCCGTTTGCACAGAGCAGCATCGCAGGCAGTCGGCCCACCTCCCTCGTCTCCATCTCGTCCAACATCCCCCTGGAGAGGAAATATTAACAGCGTCTCCTGGTTGGAGCCGAGAGAGGATGACGAGTTTTTACAGTCGACGAGCGCAGGAATGGCTGGGCGGTAGGAAGTGGGGAAGACATGCATGTGAGTGCGTGTGTGTGTGTAATCCAAACACAACTAGAACATCTCCAACTTGGCGGAGTGTGCCATGCACTGATTTTCACACTCGCGCCCCGGAAACCAAGCAGAAGGAATAGCTCCACAGATGTCAACTTTACGACCATGGCTTGGAGTTCATCCTCCACCCCCGAAACTGATCTCCGAGTCTTTGCCGATGACGAAGGTCTCTGTGTAGCTGAAGGAGAGAGTGTGTGTGTGTGTCTCGCCACTGGATGGAGACTCAGTGGATTTACTTACCGTCAGGGTCAGAGGGTTTTGACTGTGAACTGATCCCTCGAATCGGATTGAGGGTCGTTTGACGTCCATCCTTGCAGTTAAATTGTTTGTGACTGCCACAGACGTTACAATGAAGGAAAAGAAAACTATCAAAACTGTTTACATTGACTATGTTTCACTAACTTGCCTGGTTAGTTTGCTTCGAAGGTACTACCCATCACGTGTGAAAGGCGCACCTTATTTCTGTCTGTTGTCAGTTTAACTCTTTAAATCCCAAACTCCCCTGGGAAGAGATTGCTTCTGAAGGAAACGCTTTTCTTCCAAAGTTCTGTACAGTGTTTTTTTTTTGTTTGTTTTGTTTGCTTTATATGTGACCCGACATTTTGTAAGAAGAACAGATAGCAGTAATATCAGCTGCGGAGATAAATGAATAGAGAAATCGCAGTCAAGTTCATTTGACTGCACTCAAGCAAACGTCTCCGTCTTGAATAGTCTCATTATTTATTTATTTTTGTTGTGAATGTTTTTTTTTCTAACATTAGAACAGCTTAATGGTGCATCGTGAATATTCTGTATGTTTTTGGAGTGTTCGGTCATAGTCTAGCCATCAAAAGAGAGAGGGAGGGAGAGTAGGTACAATCAACCTCATGGGGAAAATGAGAGAGCGATGGGAACATAGGAACAGGAGGAGGCCATTCAGCCCCTTGAGTCTGTTCTGCCATTCTATTAGATCATTGGCTGATCTGTGCCTCAACTCCAATTACCTGCCTTTGCCCCACAAAGGCAGATATCCTTTGAGACGCCTCCAAGACGTGATAAGGCGCTATATCAAATGCAAGAATCATTATTATTATTATTATTATCTTCCCCTCTTCGAGTCTGACCCAGTTCTTTGCAAAACGCTCAGAGACATTATCCTTCATGAAGGATATATAATACATATATATATATATATGCAAGTTGTTGTTCTATTGAATCCCAACCGAATTGGTTAGGAAATGTCACAAGATCAGAGTAACGTTTGAAGGATGAACTCATTTTTTTTTTATATTGTTAACCACAATGAAGCTGGTTTTATTTTTAGAAAACACAGTGACGGTAAATGTTTCCGATGATAAATGGATGTGAAAGTCAGGTACCTGCTTACCAACCGATTGTCTGCTGAACCCCAAAACTGCCTGCACACACCCAAGCCGGTTATAACGACGCCTCCTGTAGTTTAGAGCTACTATGATGACTTGTGCGTTAAGATAATTGAAGTAAAACGGCCTTTAAAAAGAATCAACGCCAAACTAATCAGCTTCACACCAGCTCCGTGTAAACCAGAAATATAGAAAACTGTGTTGTTTTATCAACTGGATTTAACGTCCGGGGAAACAAAATAGAGAGTTGAGGTTGGGGCTGAATTTAGGTTGTGGGTCTTCTCAGATCTTTGCCTCTTTCAAAGTGGGGGGGGTGGGGGGGGAGGGGGGGTGAAGTGAGTCTTGGCTGTAAAACGATCATGGGCTGAGGGACGTGGTGGGGGTTTACCTGGGACTGAACTAGCTGATCCATAGTAATCGAAGGCAGATGTGGGGTTAGGTAGACCTGTCCTCCTCAACCGTTTGAGTCAAAGTTGCAGCAGGAAATGTGCTCCTCGTTGGACCCATAATGCCTGTAGTGTTTTTTTGTGTGGGGACAGGGGTGTGCAACTAGATGGGTGTCATCACTGTTGCTTAAGAGTCTCCAAACCAAGCTGAGAATTCCATGATCCCACCTATACGTGGAAATCCCAGAGTTAGATTGTTGGAATGGAATCCGCACTCTCTCTCTCTGGAGGGATGTATCCTGCTTACCTAATTCCAGAGAGTATCAGACGCGGGTTGGCAAGAGCCCAGGCTTGGGGAGGGAGCCCAGAGGGCGCATTGGGGTAACTGCTGGATTAAAACCGCCCAGCTTGGCTGTTGAGAGCGCTGTCTGGCAAGCTTTCCCGAAATTTCCCCAGCATTTTTCCTTGGAATCTAATTAAAGTTTCGGTTGATGGGAATAAACAGTAAGACGATGGAAATCTCATCGGTTACAGCCTCCACCTGAGTCCCGAGACTAGACTGTAAACGTGAAGCAAATTTTGGTTAAGAATTTTTTTATATAATGTATATTTTTGGTGGATCTGGTCCCTTCTGAATCTTGTTTTTGTTCCGGTTAAACTCCAGGATTCGTCACAATATGCTACGAATAGACGAACCGACTTGTCGACTGCCAGAATTAACCTTAATTCAACGTAACTTGCGCTGTATGCATGTCACGTGTAAGACTACTAAGCGGTGCTGAATCGTATCTTTCCCCGTGTAGTTCCACCACGATGGTCGCTGTACTTATTTTCCCGTTGTCGTCCGTGTTAACATCCTGCGGTTGGGTCTGAAATATTACTGGAAGTAGCTCCAAATAAAATGATAGTCAAACTCACGCAAGTCGTTATCAGGTGGGACCGTAGAATTTAAGGTGATTTAGGCAAAGTATGAGTTGTGTCGAACTTACGCCAGTCGTGTTACGTCCCAGTTGTACTTTATGTACACAAAATTACACGACTTCTGGATTGCCTGGTAATAATAATAATAATCCTTGCATTTGATATAGCGCTTTTCACGTCGGGAGGACGTCCCAAAGCGCTTCACAGAATATACTGTAAAGTGAATTAACTGTATATTTGTGGGCGAACGCGGCAGCCAATTGCGCACAGCAATGTCCCACAAACAGTCGTAGATTGAAAATGACCAATTTATTATTGTTTTTGGTTTTGGAGGGATTATTATTAGGCTCTGTGTGGAGTAAGGAAACTTGCCCAAGGTTTGGCCCTCTGCCTGGGATTGAACTCAGGTCTCTCACTTGCAAAGCGAGTGCTCTAACCACTGAGCTACAGGACTCCACACACATAATGTTGAGGCAAGGTTTCTGAACTATGTTCAACCCAGGCATATTAAAGCTATGGTAGCCCATTCATTCCATACACTGCAAGGTACCACAAGCTGATGATAATAATCCTTAGCATTTGATATAGAGCCTTATCACATCGTCGAGATGTCTCAAAGCGCTTCCCAGAATATACTGTAAAGTGTGGTGACTGCATATTTTGTGGGGGAAATGCAGTAATTATTCAAAGTCTGTCTTCAAAGCGAAGGCTGGTTGTCCTGTCATCGGCCGTGCCCTGAACAATATACTATTTTTTGTCTCATGGTTGCTCTCGCCCCCCCTCCCCCCCCCCCTCTCTCCACCTCACCCTCCACCCACCCGCCCCCACTTCTCCCCATGTGTACATACAAGTCACAGCGAAGAAAAGGATTAAGCTTGGCTGTGATGCTTTCCTTGTTATGAAAGAACTGCCCATAACTCACAGGCTCGTCTCACACATGCAGAACGAACATTTGTTCGACAATGTCAGTCTTGAGGGTAGGGGAGGTGGAGCAAAATATAGATATATATATGTGTGTATCTACGATAACAGAATAAAAGCTACAATTCAGCCTTGAACCTCAGCTTTGTAAAGAGCTTGGATTTTATTCTCAAGGCCTATGACATTATTGGAAACCTTCAATGAACGAAAGCCTTGAGACTTGCTGCACAGTATCCTTTTTTCCTGAAGCCAGTTTCCATTCAGCGAGAGAATTGTGCTCCTTTGGAGCTGAATGTGAAATATTTATTCCGTTAGTTAAAGGGTTAAAGCAGCGGCCACAGCTTCTGTTGTATTAGTCACTTCTCTGATCACAACACTACGGATTTGATCAAGGAAATTGCATTGCTAACTATGGCTAAGTTATGAGACAGACATCCACCCGACTTGAAAGGTGCTTGCTTATAGAAATGTAAATTGTGTTGTATTAGAGTGAATATTCCTATTTTGACTGTTTCCATTGCATAGATTTCTTCAGTCACAGTCTCTCACGTTACGTAGAATTCAGCTGTTTGAGGATTGTCGCTGTATGAACCTTAACCATCCGAGAGGGATTCTGTTCAGAATAAAATAAAGAATTGGCCTGAATTCCAGGTAAAAGATTTTCACTCATTGGCAGTCAGTAAGATTTTATATTTTGGTCACAGCCGGGTTGGGTGTCTTGACAGCCGCGGAAACCCATCACCGTTGCTTAAGAAGCTCCAAACCCAACTGAGAATTCCATGCTTCCCATCTGCACATGGAAATCCCAGAGATAGATTGGGATTTCCCTGGAGGGACGCACCCGACTTCACTGATTCCAGAGAGTATTAGGCACAGGTTGGCCAAAAGCCAAGGGTGGGGGTGGGGGGGAGAGCGCAGAGTGTGCCTTGTGGGGTAACTGCTGGGGTCTAACCAGCTAAACCCACATAGATTGCCATTGAGGACACTCCTGTTGTAAATGGTTGAAAGAAAGTTTGAACGTTGTACAAAAAGTTGAAAGGTGAAGTCAGGAAACTTGCCCGAGGTCTCGCCCTGACCTGCCCCGCCCCGCCCCGCCCGGGAATCGAACCCGGGGCCTCTCTCGCTTTCGCTGCCCCAGAGAAATAACAACATCACATTTGTATAGACCCTTCACGTTGGGAGGACGGAGGACACAGAATTACGGACCTGAGCTGGGGGTCGGGGTCGGGGTTGGAGGGGGGTGGGGGGGGAAGCAGGGGGACCGCAAGCACGGTCGATCATGGAGTGGGTCTTGAAGGTGGCGAGGGAGGGGGCGAGGGAGGGGGCGAGGGAGGGGGCGAGGCAGAGGGGGGCGAGGGAGGGGGGCGATGGGGAGGGGGTGATGGGGAGGGGGGCGAGGGAGGGGGGCGAGGGAGGGGGGCGATGGGGAGGGGGTGATGGGGAGGGGGGCGAGGCAGAGGGGGGCGAGGGAGGGGGGCGATGGGGAGGGGGTGATGGGGAGGGGGGCGAGGGAGGGGGTGATGGGGAGGGGGGCGAGGGAGGGGGTGATGGGGAGGGGGCGAGGGGGAGGGACTGCGGGATGGAGTTCCAGAGGGTGGGGGCAGAATGGCAGACGATCCAGGGGGGAGGGGGGGGGAGTGAATCACCAGGTCATCAGAGGAGGACATGTGGGTGTGGGTGTACATAGACCAACGGCTTCGGCTCTTTCCGGTGATTGGCCGAGCGCGGCCTCGGCTCTTTCCGGTGATTGGCCGAGCGCGGCCTCGGCTCTTTCCGGTGATTGGCCGAGCGCGGCCTCGGCTTCGGCTTCAGCTTCGGCTCTTTCCGTGGGACGGAAATGGCAGTCGGGTAGACCGGAAGTGCCGGCTCCTGATCGCCGCCCCCCCCCCCGCAGCCCCCGCCGCGCCGCAGCCGCTCTCCAGACGGGACAAGATGGACGCGGGTTTTTTCCGCGTAAGTAAATAAAGCCGCGGTGCCGGGTGCGTGTGAGGGAGGGGGGGTGTCAGGCCCCCCGCTCGGAGCTGAGCCGGCACCGCGGGGGCAGCGGGTGCGGAGCCGCCGCTCGGGGGCTTCTCTCTCTCTCTCTCTCTCGAGCACGAAAATGGCGGGGATTTTCGGGCCTTAGCAACCGAGCCAGGGTGGAAAATGGCGGCGGGCGGATGGGCGGGCGGTCAGTCAGGCGGCCGTTGATGGTCCGTGATGCTGGTGGCGACCTGCCCTGGGGCTCATTCCCTCCGTCCCTCACTCCCTCCTTTCCTCCCCTCCCCATTCCCTCACTCACTCACTCACTCCCTCATTTCCCCCCTTCGCTCATTCACCCCTCATTCCCTCCACTCGTCCGTCTCTCTCTCTCTCTCTCTTCAGTCAAAATTTGGGTTTAATCCTTAAACCTTCGCTGATTCAGACGTGTGAAGAGAAACGAATTGTTATTTCCTCACAAACACACACAGGGACACAGACACACACACACACACTGATAGAGAGAGACACACACACAGACCCACATATATGTGTGTGTGTGTGTATATATATATATATAATGTCGGGCATTTTAATCGTATTTGTTGTGTTGAGGGCGTTTTGGCGCTAACTGCGGCACCTTGTTTGTTAGGAGCGAGAAAAGGATAGGATCAGAGGGGAAATCTTGGCGGTTGTTCCTTCTCTTCCCCCCCCCCCCCCCTCTGTCTTTTTTAATCTATCTCTGCCCCTCCCTCCCTCCTTTCCTCCTCCCGCTCTCTTTTTCTGTGGTCGTTTCAAATCCAATCTCTTTTTTTAAAAATTTTATTCTCCGTGTCTGCCGTGTTTTTTTTAAATAAAAATATATATTAGATATATATATGAATTAATTCACTTTTTTTTAATTCAGCTGCTGCTGCTTTTCTCTCTCTCTCCTCTCTCTCTCTGAAGGGCCCTCCCGACTAGATTTAATTAAATTTTAATGGTGGTTTTTTTTTTGAACGAGATTAAGGTTCAGTCCCTCCTCCACACCTCGAGTTTGGTACTGTTAACAACACGAGCTGCAAAGGGGACTCCCCCCCCCCCCCTCTCTCTCTCTCTCTCTCCCCCCCCCCCCCTCTCTCTCCCCCCCCCCTCCTCTCTCTCTCTCTCTCTTCTCCCCCCCCCCCCTCTCTCCCCCCCCCCTCTCTCCCCCCTCTCTCTCTCTCTCCCATGCGGTGGCAGAATCGAAACTAAAACTCGCTTACATATATATGCCTCTGCACGCCTTGTTTGTGGCCTTCGTTCCACGTAGCATTTTTTTTTAAAAAAAAACATTATATTCGTACACAGCAAAAGATCTAAGATAATCGATCATTTTAAAAAATGGTTATCTCGTTCAAGAGGAGTGAATTTCTGAACGCGTGCATTGACATTGAGGAGACACAACACGCATCGTATTTGCAAAGCCAGGCGTGGAGTTTCAAGCCACAACTCTCTGACCAGAGTGACATTTTAATTAAAGGGGGTTGGGGGGGAGGGGTGGAGGGGGCTGAATTTGTCTGGTGGCTGTTAGTTTTTTTCCTCCTCCAAACAAAACACACAGAATTGCTTACTCGTGAGTGAATTTCAGAACACGTGCACCCACATGGAGGAGGCACTGACACACACATGGCATTGAGAGGTCGAGGGGTTTCAAGCACAGCTCACCCCCCCCCCAATGACATTTTAATTAGCTTTTGATTTTTTTTTGGGGTGGGGGTATGTGGTTCAGCTGGTCCTTTTTGGCGGGGGGGGGGGGGGACAATGTGCAGTGGAAGTGAGGGAGTTCCAACATCTTTTAAGAAATACAAAAAAATGACTGTCCTGTCCTTGTTTGGGGGTGAATGCAGCTTCCTGAGCTGGGAAGGACTGACACTAACTTCAATATTCCTTTTTCTAAGTGTAGGGTTGGCAGTATTAGGTCAGACATTAAAGTGCCACATTACATTCTCACATTACTGTCTACTAGTCATGTGGGTTTTCTGTAATTAATAATAATAATAATCCTTGCATTTGATATAGCGCTTTTCACGTCTTCTCGACGTCTCAAAAGTGCTTCACAGAATATGCTGTAAAGTGAATTGATTGTATATTTGTGGGCGAAACGCGGCAGCCAATTGCGCACAGCAGCGTCCCACAAACAGTCGTGGATTGAAAATTTATGATGACCAATTTATTATTGTTTTGTTTTTTTGGAGGAATTATTATTAGGCGTGTGGATTAAGGAAACTTGCCCAAGGTTTCGCCCAGCCTGGAATTGAACCCAGGTGTCTTGCTTGCAAGGCGAGTGCTCTAACCACTGAGCTACAGGACTCAGAGTCAAGCTGTTCTGATAATGTCTTGAACTGTGAGAGTGCTTCTTGGGGAGTTTGAGCATGATTGGGACTCTCATGCAGTATGCCATTTTGCCCCCCAAATCATTGTGATTTTGCTAGTGATTCACTGAGTAGACAGGATAGTATAAGCAATATTCCGTGGTCAACAAGAATGGTTTTAAGGTGGTGTTAAAACTACTTGCACTAATAGTGTCCCTGCTCAGAAATTCTGTCATGGAAATAAAGGACATGAGGAGAGCGTCGCTACTTTTAATGTTTCTTATTCCTCTTCAAAAGAAAAAATAGGCCATCTTGGTTACCTTGACCTGATTTTGTACAAAGGTTTGGATAAGTATTCTCATGTAAAGCCTATCTCTTGGGAGATTCATTCCATGATTTAAATTACAATTGCATATCTGGTTAACGTTACAGAAACAGGAAAGCCCAGAATTACCTACAATTCAGATAATTTCCAAGAAAGCAACAATTGCAGCTAATTTAGTCAGTGTTGCTCTCGATATAACATCAGTTTACTCTAGTGTTGGAGTATTGGAAGTGCACATTGCTTTAATGATTGTATTGCCAATTGACCTGAAAACACACTATTTGTGTTCTGCAAAATCAAAAAATTGTAAGAAACTGAAAAAAAAAGTTCCCAATAGTCCAGGCAAATGATACGTAATACAGCAATATTGTATATTCCAGTTTCTATTTTTATTGCAAGACTCTCATTTTCATTGGGTCTGTAAAGCTGTCTGATGCTGTTTCCCTGTGTATTTGCTGTATAAATTGGTGTTAAGGAGAATATGGATTCGGGACATTTAAATGCACCCCATGGAAATTGATCCAATCTGATCTGAAATAGTCTCTTGCTAGAACTTTCAAGACATAATTTGTGAATGTTAAAAAAAACAATTGATTGACTAGTTCTTCAACAAAGAATCTTTCACACGAGTTAGCATAGCTCTTTGTGCTTAGTGTTTAGTTTTACGTACGCAGAACATTTAGTCTAGTCAATGAGATTAGGAGTGGGGAGTAAAACTGAGCCTTTGTATTCTTAATCTATACTGGTGGAACTGAAAATGCTGCCCATAGTACAGAAACCGCCCTGGTCAAGGTCACTAATGACATCTGCGACCAGGGCTCCCTCTGCCTCCTCGTCCTCCTCCACCGCTTGTCCTCCCACCTCAACCTTCAAGGCCCTGTCCTTGAGTGGTTTAGGTCGTACCTCTCCCACCGTCTTCATTTTGTTTCCACAAACGGCTTTTCCTCCGGCCCCCGCACTGTCTCGTGCGGTGTCCCTCAGGGCTCTGTCCTCGGTCCCCTCCTCTTCACCTTCCATATGCTCCCCCTGTGGTGACATCATCCGCAGACATGGGGTTAACTTCCACATGTATGTGGATGACACCCAACTCTACCTTTCCTCCTCTACCCTCAATTCCATAACCCCCGATGTCCTGACAGCTGTCTGTCCGACATCGAGTCCTGGACGAGAGACAACTTTCTTCAGCTCAACGTGCGCAAAACTGAGGCCCTCCTGATTGGCTCACGTCAGCGCCTCCGCACCTCAGGCACTGACAGCATCAGCATCCAAGGCTGCACTCTCCACCTCTCAAAGCCATCAGGAACCTCGGGGTTCTGTTCAACCCTGAGTTGTCCTTTCTTCCTCATATCCGCACCACAACTGGCACCGCCTTCCATCACCTCCGAAACATTGCCAGACTACGGCACTACCTAACCCCTCACGCGGCTGAAACTCTGGTCCACGCCTTATCACCTCAAGGCTGGACTATGGGAACTCTCTCCTCGCCGGCCTTCCCGGCCCTCCCTCCACACTGCCGGTCATTCAGAACTCTGCAGCTCGTGTACTGTCCCGCACCAGACACCGCGACCACATCACTCCCACCCTCGCTCGCCTCCACTGGCTCCCCATCCCCCAGAGGATCGAATTCAAGATCCTCATCCTCACCTGCAAGGCATTCACGGCCTCGCTCCCTCCTACCTCTCTGACCTACTATCCCCCCACGTACCTGCCCGTACCCTCCGTTCCTTTGGCTCCGGTCTGCTCCACATCCCCCGCCCTACCATTGGTGGTCAGGCCTTCAGCCTCTCAGCCCCTAGGCTCTGGAACTCCATCCCCCAGTGCCTTCGCTTTGCCTCCTTCCTTTCCTCCTTCAAGGCCGGTCTCAAGACCTTTCTCTTCGACCGTGAGTGGTCTGCGTGGAGAGCGCTATATAAGTGCAAGTTGTTGGTGGTGTAAAGTATTCGTATCTTTACTTGATGAGATCCCTCTTTCTGGATATTCATTTCTGTCTACCATTTTTTAACAAAAGCACAAGATATAAATTTTGCTTTAATGTTTTTTTAAAAAGTAATAAAATAATGGCACTGCACTGCTACCTTATCAGAGGTATTACACGTGAGATGTTTAGAAAACAGAAGCTGTGTATTTCTGTTTACCTGCAGCATGAGAGAGTATCTCAGGTACAGTGTGTGCAACACTGCGATAAGATAATCACTCTATGCAGCTTGCGGTCTGACGGGAAGGAGACGTTAATTCCTCAATTACACTAAAATGTTTTTAGAGATGAGGAACCCTTACAAGGATTAAAAACAAAACACTGGAACGTGAGCTGATGGCTATTTGGTAACATTAAGTACTTTTAATTTCACCTACAGGGAACCAGTGCAGAGCAAGACAACCGTTTCAGCAACAAGCAGAAGAAACTCCTCAAGCAATTAAAATTTGCAGAATGTCTTGAGAAAAAGGTACGAGTGTTTTGTTCAGTTTATGATTCATTGACAACCAAAAATACTGTCAAGAGATGCTGCCTTTTGGGTGAGGTGTTAAACTGAGATGCCCTTCTCTCTGCCTGTTTGAGTGAACTACAAAGAGAAGGGAGTTTCTCCCTACAATACTCCAGATTTAAAAATGAAAGATCATTCACTTATTTCATGGCTGTGTTCAAATTGACTGCTGGAAACATACAGTCACTACAATTCACAGAAAAGGTGTGTAAAATACTTGAGATGTTTTAAGGTCAGTATAAGGTCAGGATCATCAAATGCATATTATTGTAATGAAGAATGAAAGTTGGTCACTGGGGCCCTCAGATTCTGACAACCTGACAATTTGTGTTTCCAGGTGGATATGAACAAAGTGAACCTGGAAGTGATCAAGCCATGGATTACACAGAGAGTGACAGAAATGCTGGGATTTGAGGATGATGTAGTTATTGAGTTTATCTTCAACCACCTTGAAGAGAAGGTAATAATTAGGAGCACGAAAGAGCGTTGTAAGAGTTATTGTGATGTGGTTATTCACCTGGACGTTTGGTGAAATAAAAGTTATATAAAATGGCAGGTTTGCTCGCTTTCTACGCAGTTAATGTTGAAGACAGTACATAGCGAGGTTAACAAGCTGCGAGGATAGCATTAAATACGGCAGGATTCAGGGGTCATTCAGCACTTTAAGCTGTTTTCACAAGGGTGCATTGAGAATTTTTCTTGACTCCCCTTTTTCTGAAACTTGCTCCATTTTCACAATTGATTTGTGATTTTGTATGGAATTTTCCGATTAAATGTTTGCCAACGCCATCTTTTTTTTAAAAAGCAAACTTCAGTAGATTAATTTGGGTTGGCTTCCTGAAATATCTTATTTTTAATAAATTATTATTTTGCTTTAATGCACATTTTGGCGTCTCTACAGTGTGATATTCACAATCATATTTGGGTGCTCTCTCTGAAGAGACTCGATATACTCTTGTGAAATTGTTGAAGTTGCTGAACGACTCCTCACTTAGCCCTCAGGTAAACAAAAAGAAAATCCATCTTGTATATGTACTTACTTGTTTTGTTGTATAATGAGCGCCTTTGACAGCATTTTTCTAATGATCGTGTGATTTATGATTTAAAAGGCCTGAACCAAAATGGATGTTATTCCGTCTGAAGTATAGCACCATCACCTTGTTAGGTCACAGCAAAGTGAATTCCAATCTCGCTCTGACCCTCCTCCCTTGACGATGCAGTGTGTGTTTGGAGGTGAGTTGTGTAAAGTGACCAGATGAAAATCCTCATGCCACTCAATGAAGAAAGAGCACTCGGACAAAACTTTACACTGCTCAGAAGTAAAAGCAGAAGGCAAAACAGTAGCCAGCTAGATGAGGAAAAATGTACTATTGCAGATTTNAAAAAACTGTCCTTTATAATCTGAAAACTGAATATGGCTTTTTAGTGAAGCTTATTTAGGCTTATTTGCGCAACAAAAAAAAATGCTTGACTGTTTTTTAAGCTTCCGATTAATATATTGGAATATTTGAGGAGGGCTAATTGTTTTATTTTTTTTAAAAATGCTCAAAACTTCAACTCGCCACTGCAACCCAAGGGATAATGAGACTCCCATCTCTCAGTTTGGGGGAAAGAATGTTTAGGACCACTATAGGAGGAAAATCATGCTTGATGTGAAACTCCCAAAAATGGTGTATATATTTGAATCGGTGCAGCATTAAGTTCTATTTTATAACAACTGAAATGTATCCTTAACTTTTTTTTAAGTATGTCTGATCTGATTTATCCAGGCAGAAATGTTCTGTTTTTGTTTTGATTAAACCAAAAAATAAACATGACTGCAGCTTTGCTGCTAGATAGAACGCCGCACGGAAGCAAAGGCGTCCCATCTCGAAGGAAGGAAAAAAAATTGATCAGTTCACCCTGCTTGAATCGCACCTCTTAACGGCTGATCGGGGAGCGGCATTGACGGTGGTTGTGGAAACATCCTCAGCCCAGACGTCCTTCCCTCCCAGTTTGTAGGAGGATGCAAGCAGCCGGCAAGGGGAGGAAATAAAGGAAATAGCGTAGATTTCTACTACGCTAGTCAGTTTCCAACTTTGTAGTTGAGATCTAGTTGAGTAGTATTTTCTCCAAGACCTGACTTGCCAGAAGAATTAAAAGTAGTGTCTACGATTAAACGTTTCTTAACAGTTAAAATTATCTTCTAAAACAAACTAGTTGTGTATATATGTACATAGACACACACATATATATATATTATATTTTTGAGGTGCAACCCAGGAAGGTGTTCATTGTCAATTGGAGAAACGGATTCCAGTTTGTAAAGAGAAACACTTGACTTTTCCAAAATGCATCTTCATGTGCTGAAAATTCCAATTGGAACAAGACCTAGCTTTGGATCCCTGGTGAAAGTCTCAACCCAATTGTAAAGGAAATGTGGGTTTATTGATTACTTTAACATTCACAGACATTAATGTCACAATAACAGGAGAATAATAAAGGCAAAGCATAGCCTCATTTGCAACTATAAAAGGGGCTTTAATCATGCGCTAGACAATGATTAGATGAAAGTCATTGATAACCAAAGGATCCATTGTGCACATAGCGTAGTTTATTGAATTATAGCATGTAGTTCAGTGTACTTGCATGTCTTAGACATTGTAATTTGATGTAAGTTAATTTTAGATTTGCAGTGGTAGCAACCAGCTCTATATGACTTGGAGCGTGAAGGCAAGTTTTATTTAAGCAGATTGAACAGAAATTTTTTAATATAAATTGTTTCATTTTCTTTTTTATGTGGCTGTTTACTCATTATTGCTTGTTCGTCTCTTACAATTTAGATAAATGATATAACATTATACTCAAGGTGATTGAGTTGCAGTAGGGAGTCGGAAGCAACCCAAGGGAACATCTTTCTCTACAGGGGACTTGGAACTTTGGGTTCAGAAGTCAACAAGAAGAAAGTGAAGACCTCAGGACTCTGTACTTGCTATGTGGTGTTCTGACACGTTTGTGTGCTTTTTTTACTGGACCTCGTTGCTCTGGCAACCTATGTGCAGTACCCATTCACTAAACCTACCAGAAAGCCCATTGGCTGATTTCAGGCAATAGTGAGAGGCAAACTGGCCTCGTAAATGGGATTTAAAACGGATTGATTTGTGTTGAGAGAAATTAGGAAGACAAAACTGCCACTCGGCCAATTTATATAGGCTGTTAGATCAGGGAGGTGGTCTTGATGATGCCAAGTTTAGATAGAGAAAGATAATGTAAATTGCTCTGATGTAAGAAGTACCGGGACTTTCACTTTGTTTAGAAAATCTAGGTAGATTTAACATAAGAGGATTGAAGTGCTTTGCGAATTTTCCAAATAACCTGCCTATCTCCACCTTGTGTCTGTTGCAGAACCCAGACGCAAAGCTGATGCAGATTAACCTGACAGGATTTCTGAATGGGAAGAATGCAAGAATGTTCATGGGAGAGCTCTGGCCGCTGCTGTTGAGTGCACAAGACAACATCGCAGGAATCCCCTCTGCCTTTCTGGAACAGAAGAAGGAAGAAATCAAGCAGAGACAGGTAATCCATTGCATGCAGATACTTGTGAAGTTGTGTGAATGCTAGTAAAATAATTAGTAAGAGTTGCACTAGCATTGGAATATGGATTATCCATTAGGTTATTGATGTTTGACGTAGTGCAGTAGCTTCTCGTTTACTCTTGAGGTTTGACTTGATGGCACTTGTCTCTATCAGGATGTAACATTTCTGTTCCATTAGTCCGAAAACTCCCCCCTCCCCGCTCCCTCCAACAATTTTTTTTATCACTGCAGATTGAACAAGAAAAGCTGGCTACCATGAAGAAACAGGATGAAGAGAAGGAAAAGAAGGATAAGGAAGACAAAGAAAACCGAGAAAAGAGGGACCGCTCCAGAAGTCCAAAGAGGTAATTAAGAGCGAAATGTATATTCCAGGTTAAGATTTAGTGGGTCATAGAGTAGAGCCTCAGTATAACATGGTGGTTTAGGGTCCATAGAATCCCAACCTGCATTCTAATGAGAGGGACGATACCTGGATTCACTCCAGAAAGTGACATCGGCCTCATGACCTGTTGATCCAGAAATCTGCCAAGTGAGAACTTGGAGCCCATATGGTTTATGCTGACTCTTCAATGCAATGCTAGAGGCAGGGCTGCTCAATTGGAGGTGAAACAGGCCTTGGTCCCGCCTGTTTTTCCAGGTAGCTACAAAAGATACTGTCAAAATGCTAGGATTATTATTATTATTTTAGTAGTAGTCTCGACATCATGCGCAAACTGAATCAGCCGACTGCGCACGTGTGAATAGGGTTCAGGAAGTTGGGTCAGCAGACAACTCGTGACCCAGCAGATCTGCTCCACACTGCAACAGTTGGCATTTTTTGTTAAGTGCAGGATGCTGCGCTGCACTACCGGAACTTTCTTGCCCCCCCCCCCCCCCCACATGTTAATGACCGCTGCAGGAAGTAACGTGTGAATGCACTGAGGTTTAATCAACACATTCATTCTTCACCTTCTAAAGTGGAATGTTTTGGCACCAGACAGATTTCTCATTCTAAAAAGAAACGTGAACTCTTTACAGGCGTAAATCCAGATCCCCGTCCCCTCGGAGGCGGTCGCCTGCCAGGCGGGAGCGCGAGCGCAAGCGATCGCCCTCCAGGTCTCCTCGCCGCAGGACAAGGAGCAGGAGCAAAAGTGCTTCTCCGGTGTCGACAGTTAGAAAGCCGGAGCAGGTGTCGCCCGAGCCCGATCTCTCGCTCAAAGAACGGAAAGCATCGCCACCTCCGGAGGCAACTTCCACCAGGTTGGTTTCCAACGTCGTGTTCAAGTTTTCCATTTAAACTAAACAAAAATATCTTTTGTCATTGCGTGATTGAAATTAGATGATAGCCCTGTTGGGTGATACCTCAGGAATCGCAGCTTCCTGGGTTTATTCCCCAAAAAGCTAGTAGTTTAGTGTGCGGTAATCATCATAATGGCTGCCACGTTTCGCTCGCTAAGTATACAGTCAATTCATTTTACAGTATATCCCGTGAAACGCTTTGAGACGTCTCGGAGACGCGATAAGGCGCTGTATCACATGCGAGGGTTAATATTATTATTCTCCGATCCGATGCGTATCTCCCAACCTCAATTTGTAGCCTCGATCAGAATTTCACACGCAGATATTGTATCATTGACAATATTGCTCATTGCAGTCATGACAACAGCTCTGCAGGACACTGTTTTATTGGAAATCTTCACAACTAGTTACGATTTGAGCTTTAGGAATATGACTGATATTTAGGGAAACAAAATTGTGAGGCTGCACTCGCAATCAAACTATTGCTGTCAAATTCCCAATCTTTCGTGTCCAAATAAACAGACATGTAGATGAGTCTTTTTAAAAAAAAGTTTCAAACCTGGAGGAAGGTCTGAAATGATGGGATTCTTTCCCTCCTGGACAGCGATATCCTGAAGGAAGTGAAACCCGAGGCACCAGAGGTGAAGGAAACCTTATCAGAACAGCCTTCGAAAAAGGAGAAGGACAAGAAAGAGAGGAACCGGCATCGATCGCGTTCGCGGTCAAAATCCAGGTCCAGGTCCCGCTCACGCTCTCATTCACGGCCAAGGAAGCGTCCCAGGTCCCGCTCAAGGTAAGCGCTTGGATGTTTCTCTCTTACCCGGGCTCCCTTTTGCTCCCTCTCCCCTTCAGTTAGAGCAATGTGTCAGGATCCTGATTGGTTTCTCTGCTCTGATCTTCTTCATCCACAATCTCAGGTCCTATTCACCCCGAAGACGGCCAAGTCCTAGGCGTAGGTCCCCACCTCGGCGGAGAAGCCCACCCAGACGCCTACCACCTCCTCCCCCGCTCTCCAGGCACAGGCGGAGTAGATCACCAATCAGGAGGTAGTGTGCTCTTTATTCCTGAGATGTCGTCAAAAAAGCTGCCATTTGTAGGAGTGTTTTAATTAAAGCATAATATATAAAATCAAAAGGTAATTGTTGAACATTTTCCGAGGTGTCAGCCTGGCTCAGTTTGGTAGCACTCTTCCCTCTGAGTCGGAAGGTACAGGACTTTGGGCTCCAATTGTAAACTGACGTGAAAGGCGCTATACAAATGTAGTTTGGTTGTTGTTGACACTCCAGTGCAGTAGTGAAAGAACACTGCATCGTTGAAGGGCGCAGGGCGTTTTATGAGAGAAATACAGGCCCCGTCTCTCTGCCTGTTTGAGTGGATGTTGAAATCCGACAGCTTTGTTCAAAAAGAGCAGACAGTTTCTTGCAGAGGCCTAATTGACAGCCTGCGTGAAGATGGATAGCTTGTTCACAGACATCTACCCATTCTGTACTTTGGCCAGCCATTATCGTGTAGCTTCAGAGGAGCACTAGCCTTTTTTTTTCTTTGTGTGTAAGTACTTTGCCTTCGTTTCTTTCGTCCAGTCAATTTGAGATCAGGAACCTTCTGAGCAGACCGCTCACTGGTGACCATCTATCTGGGTATAATAACTGCCTTCCTTGGGCTGCTTTTATTAGTAAGATTATATCAACATACACGAATGTATCACAGCAATTTATCTCTGTATTGTTGGGTTGATATTCTGAGAGTGTCTCTCGCAGTGCGAATTATCTGTCGAGTATCTGGTCGCCTCTCGGTAATGGAAAAAGAACAGGAAAGAATAGCCTTACGTTCTGTTTTCATCTCCGTAGGCGCCGATCTCCCTCTGCCTCGTCCTCTGGCAGCAGTTCCTCCTCCTCCTCTCGCTCGAGGTCACCCCCGAAGAAGTCCAAACGCATCTCGGTCAGTCCTCCTCGCAAACCTCGCCGCTCCTCCCCATCCCCCGCCAGCCCTCATCGGAGAAGGCACCGGTCACCTATTCCCCCAACAAGTCCCGTTCACAAGGGACCCCCGCGATCTTCGTCTCCACACTTGAACCGCTCGAGGAAAGGCCAAACGTCTGTGTCTCCCGCTAGACCAGGTATGTAGACGCCACTTGTATGGAACGTAAGAGTGGTTTCGCCAACAAAATGTACAGTCAGTTCACTTTACCGTATAAAGTGAAGCACTTTGAGACGTCTCAAAGATGCGATAAGACGCTATAGCAAGTGCAAGGATTATTATTATTATTGAGTCAATCTTCTGTGAGTGTGAGTGATGGTCTCAGTCACCCGCGGGCACAGATTCTTCCCGTTTTGCAGTGGCAGCCGTTGTTCTTTATCGCGTGTAGACAGAATGTTATGGACCCAAAGCTTATTTAGCCGTTCATTTCACTTGTGCTGTGTTCAAAATATAGAACGGATTGCTCTTTATGTTGGTAGCTATATAATGTGAAAGTCAGCTTGGCTCATTGGGTAGCTCTCCTATCGCTACATCGGAATTTGGTGGGTTCGAGCTCCAAGTTAAGGTGCGAGTTCATAGTCCAGACTGAGCACAAATCGGCTGCCACATTTACCTACAAATTCAGTCACATGAGAGGCGCCAGTAACTTGTGAAGCAACTTGAGGTGTTTTAGTATCATAAGATTGGTGTTCCTTTTCACCTATTGCAGCTCAAAATATTCTGTCTTGCTATCAAACAAACTATATGGGTGGATGTATAAGTAGTTCTGTTTAAAATAATTTCCCCAGAGGAAAGATTGATGTGATGTGTGGTGCCTTCCCTAGGGACAACATTTGAGAGGTGAAGCCAAAGGTGTAACCAGTTGACTAGAAAGTAATGTGGGCAGAGACCTGGAAGCAGGCTGCCTGGCTGATGTAGGGAAAGACCTGTGTTTCTAGAAGGTTCAAAGAGGAGAGGAAATATATGGGACTATAATGGAGCTTAACATTTATTATTGATGCTACTTAAACTTGTCTTGTCGCAGCACCAAAACGGAAAGGGAGTCTGAAGCGAGAGTCTGTTTCTCCACCTCCTAAGCCAAGAAGGTCCGAGCCATCTGATTCAGGTGAGTGTTCCCATGCTGATCAAGGCGCTAGAGAAATCACAGCCGAAAGGTCTAGTGTTATAACGTGGCTAGTTATCACGTGGATCCTGATTTTATGGGTGCAAACTGCCACTTTATAATGGAGTCCCAACTGTCGAAACATAGGAACAGGAGGAGGCCGTTCAGCCCCTCGAGCCGGTTCCACCATTCTATAAGATCATGGCTGATCTTTACCTCAACTCCAATTACTCGCCCACATCCTTTAATACCCTGACCTAACAAATATTGTTGGTTGTACTTGGAGCGAGCTCATCTGTGGCTGCACAATTACCTGATATTTGTTTTAACTGTGGGTTCTGGTGTGGCCCAGTTGATGTGTGGAGGAAAGCAGTGGAGATTGGTTTGAAAAGGCCGTTGATTTTTTTTAATCGTTGCAGAGGATGATAAAGGGGGCAAAGCTGCCGGAGTGGAGTCAGTTCAACAACGCCGCCAATATCGCAAACAGAATCAGCAGACTTCATCAGGTAACACTCGGTTACTGTCTTACTGCTTGACATCTTTGGAGGCAATGGACCGATTACTGCTGTGAAACTTGCCTTTGCAACCATGTGACAGTGTCGTATGCTTCACATGTTCACCGTAACTTTGGAACGGTTGTTTACCCGGTTGACTTAATAATAATCATAATCATAATAATAATCCTTGCATTTGATATAGCGCTTTTCATGTCTTCTAGACGTCTCAAAGCGCTTCACAGAATAGACTGTAAAGTGAATTGACTGTATATTTGTGGCTGAAACGACTTATTACCCAAGTGATTAGTAACCAAGGCTGGGTGGAGATTGTGCAACCTGTAATATCAGCGGAGTTTGTCCCCAGGCTCCCTTTTGGTTATGTTGCCATTGTGTTTCAGGGTGGGGTGGGTGGGTGTCCCAACGTTTTGGCTGCTGCGGGCCAGGTGCCCTATTTGAGAATCATCCACGGGCCTAATAGTAATAATAATTATAATAAGCAATATTTTTGTGTTTCCCTTCCAGAAACATAGCATAATATTTAGGGGTTATGGAGGGAGCAGATGAGCCAGATGCAATGGAAGTAGGGTGGTGGGTGGGGGTAATGGGGAGGATGAAATTTTGGTACCGGGTTCAGGCACGTATGCAAAGTATATATGTCAGCACGCTGAACGGCTTGACTTTGTGTAGATGTGTGTTGATTTCTTCAATAGAACGTCTCAAATGTTGCCCACAGAGTCTGGATCTTCATCCTCGTCTGAAGCTGAAGCACCGAAAAGATCGAGTGCAAAGAATGGGGAGGTTCGAAGAAGGCGTCAGCGCTCTCTGTCACGGAGCATGTCTCCGTCACCCGCCATGCGGAAACGGCATAAGGACTTCTCTCCCAGGTAAAATGCACAGTCCCTTGTCCTGCCGAAACATCACTTAATTTTTGCGTAATTTGTATTCAGAAAAACATGAAGTTATAGAGGTTTTTTCTTATTATTTTCAAAAGGATTATCGAGACTCCCATTTTTTCCTGGCTGAAAAAAAAAGAAGTTTGGTGCTTTCATTTCGCCCCGCAAAATGCACAGTCGATTCACTTTACAGTGTATTTATCCTGTCAAGCACTTTGAGAAGACTCAAAGACGTGATAAAGTGTTATATCAAAGGCAAGGGGATTATTATTCACCATCAAGCACCAAACTGAGTTCACTGAGAAAGCTGTTGGCAATGCATTGTATTTTTGTTGACTTGCAGTGACTCCAGTCAGTCAGTCCACTGGTTTGGGCAAATGGTCCGATTTGCTAAATCCAATCTACGCAAACTGCAAGTGACTAGTAGCTTGTTTATACCGACCGCACTTCCACTAATATGGCTGCATCACAGCCTTTTCTTCTAGGGAAGGTGGACGTTCCCAGTGGGGGAAAGGTACATTCTTGGGACACAGGATCCACAGCAGTCCTTCCCTCTTGGGCCCGCTTGTTCTCCTAGTCCTTGCATTGCGCAGTATGGGGGCATTAATCAGTCATTAAGCAAATCTGACTCCCCCTTGAGAAAATGGGAATTTAAGTCTGATAGCATTACATTTCAGATGGGGATGTTTTGGTTCATTTTGTTTATTTGGGTGGGGGAGAGAAGATTCTTGTGTTTTATATGTGTTTGTGAAAGTGGGGTTGGTGCTAAAGTCAAACTCCAGTTAAACAATATAATTAAATTCATTTTTATTGCCACATTTATTAGACTTTTCTTTTTAATAGAAATAATATTCTTCCACCACTTGAGAATTTGCCTTGCTCAATGTGGAATTGTACTGTGGAGGTGGGGAAATGCAGTTCTCTTTTAATGCTCTCTACCCCTATCCAGACAATAAAGATTAATAATTCTCCACATTCGTTAGGAAAAATGTTAGGTCTAGCCAGCCTTGTGAGCGAGGTGACATAGAAAGAATCATCTTTCTACTTTATGTAGAAACCTGGTCTACACTGTATACAGTGGAATTAAACCTCTGGCTCATTTGCCCAGTGGGTATCTTGCTAATTGTGTACTCAAAATTTAGATTATGTTCAAATAGGTACAAGGAAGAAATAATGAATTGGAAGGTTTTTAAGTGACAAGCACTAAAAAGGGAAACTACTGTTTCCATCGTAATACCTCAAGGAAACGCTTTTGAGTTTGTTTCCTGACTAAAAATGCATTTGCGAGAGGATAAGAGTTTGACTGAAAGCTGCTAATTTTCATTACACGTTCAAAAAATATCGATTGAGTAACTTTACAAAGTGCCAATCAGCAAATAAATGGCTTGCACGTCATGGAAAAATAATTGCATCTGAAATCCATAACAGAGTTTTAAACTATTTAAATGGCTCACTTATTCCTGTAACGCGCAGAGCGTGTTAAAGCTTCCAGGTAGGGAGGGAAGCTGTGTACCACATTAACAGGCAAAGCACTGAGCGGAGGCAGAGTGGCTTGCCAAAGGAGAAAACATAACCTGTGGTTCTGCAATGAGTTACCCTGGATGTCCCAACTAGCTGGACATAGAACATGCACAAGATGAAACCCTGGAATTGTGCAGCCATCTATGTACTGTTCTCACCGAGTCTCCTGGGTGTGTGAGTGTGAGCTGAGCAATGTTAAGTGGGAGAGTCTTTGTATGTTTGATTTTTAAAAAGACATTTATTTTCACTGTGGTTATGGATTCAACTAAAACCCAATAAGTCTGCATATAACGTCTTGATTTAAAGCTATTTCCCTGCTAGAGGTTAATTTGTAAAAGAAAAGAACAACACAGCTTGGTTTTGTTTTTCTCTTGCTATCAGGATGCCGCTTGGAAAGAGGTGGCACTTCCCAGTGGCGAAAAGGTTGGTTTGACAATGAGTTGCTGGCTGATCATTAATTTCTTTAATTAGCAATCCCAACCCCCACCCCGCTGGATTAGATGCTTCACTGCCATCACAAATGAGGCGGCAGTGCCTACAAAGCTATGAATCCGCTTTCAACGGAGCATTGGCGTAATTAAAGAATAATAATATTAATAATCCCTACATTTGAAACAGCGCCTTATCACGTCGTTGAGACGTCGCAAAGCACTTCACGGGATACACAGTCAATCCACTTTGCAGTATATCCTGTGAAGCGCGTTGAGGCATCTCACCGACTTGATGAGGCGCTGTATCAAATGCAAGGATTATTATTAATATAATGTTAATTTTTACTAAAGCTGGAAATTGAAGTATTTTGTAGGATGTAAACATGCATTAAATTTTATGTTCGGAAATTGAATAACCATTATTTTCAAAATAAGAACTTTGAACTTGGGTTCAGTCAATGTAATTCAGTTGGAATGATCTGACGAGGATTGGGTTCAGCTGTGATTCTACCATCGTTAGATAGTTAGCAAATCTCACTACAAAGCTCTCACGGGGAACAATGGCCACTTGAGATGTTGGAGGTTGTTTGGCACCTGTGAAACCATTTTTTTTAATAAAGGAAAGAAAACTGAGGAACCTGGTGTAAGAATGTGACGCTACATGGTATTTCACAAACAATTTATTCTCTGTCGTGAAATACCATCGTGGGAGCAATCAAAAACGATAATGATCATAGAATCTGAGTTATGGATTTGCTTGAAATTTAAGCTATTTAATGTTTTATAATTCCAATCTAACATCCAAATCTCACCTTGGAATTGAAATCTAGCCATTATTGAGATAGAAGACTCTGTATAGGGAGGAGACATTTAAAGCATTGTGTTTAAATAATGCTTGCTTTAAACATTTAGCATTTAGGGAATATTTGGCTTTAGCATATTCACCTTTCAAGAACCTTTAAAAACTCACTTGAAGCTTTAAACTTTTTATATAAATGCAAATTATATAATTGCATATTGTTTGTGCTTTTCTATTGTGGATTTTGTAGGATTCGAGAAATCTGCAGGATATTAGTTGAGTAAAAGCTGGAAAATAAATGATTCTAAAGGGTTGGTGTACTGACCTAACCATCTCATTTTCCTATGTACATTGAACAAGTCACAATACAGATTTGGCCTGTAACAAAAGATTTCAGCTTTGTCTTAACAACTGAATTGTTGAGATAAAGTAAAGGCACAATTACCGACTGGCTCAGTTCTGGGAGAATATATAGAGAAATACTTTTCCAGTCTTATGTAGCCTCTCGGTAGTTTTACACATTGAATAAGAATCTTGTTTTGCACTTAACTCTAAATTTCGATCTATTCAAGTGAACTTGTACAAACACCCTCAGTCAATTGTAGAAACGTACAAAAAAAAACCCACAGGTGGCGTGTCTTATGGAAAGACTCTTGGCTACATTTCAATTTCAACTTTTGGGAGTTGGGGTTTAACGGGATTGGTAAGAAATGATTTGGAATGAAAGACGTTCTCTTGTGATGCATATGTTGACGCTCTGCTGTCTGGCAAACAGGCGCAGGAGAACTCCATCACCACCTCCCAGAAGACGTCGTTCACCCTCTCCTCCAAGAAGACGTAGGTCCCCATCTCCACCGAGGCGTAGGTCAGTACATCATCTCAATGAACATCTTAACATCAATGACGAGTCAAAGCGACTGCGGCAGATGTCAAGGATCATTTTGCCCGACACTTCACGGCTGTTTTTCAGGAGCTTGCTGCGTTCACCCGGATAAACAGTCCCTTACACTTGATGATAATTCCCTGTGTTGGCCCTCAGTGTTCGTGTTCCTTTCTGTACATGACATGCTCTATACGCGTAAGGGATCAGGAGAGTGAGTGTGTTAGGGTGTAAGGGGTAGATGGTGGCTTAGTTGGGCCGAGTGGCCTGTTTCTGTGCTGACACTAGTTTTAAAATTGAGGTGCAATTTATCGCTTAAGTTTAAAGATCTCTTTAGAAAAAAGTCATACCACACCTCTATATAACTAATACCTTTGTCTTCCTTTAGATCTCCCTCTCTGCCACCACGCAGACGGTCAGTCTCGCCCAGACGCTATTCCCCTCCGATTCAGAGAAGATACACTCCGTCTCCCCCGCCCAGGAGGAGGGAGTCCCCCACACCAGCAGCAACCAAGAGACGCAGCTCTCCCTCTCCCTCCCTCAGGCGCAGGAGAGGGTCGCCTCCCCCAGCCCGCCCGGCCCGAGACGGTCGTTCCCCACCACCCCACAAACGCCACTCGCCCTCCCCTCGGCCCAGGCTGGTCCGGGGGTCAGTGAGCCCCCCGGCAACTCGACGAGCGTCAGTGTCTCCGCCACCACCACAGAGACGTCCTATGTCTCCCTCCCCCAGCAACAGGCCAATCCGCCGGGTGTCACGGACCCCAGAACCCAAGAAATCCAAAAAGTAAGACTTGTACCTGCTCTGTCACCTCTAACCCGTACTCTCCCTCCCTCCACCTCGCCCTCTTCCTTCCCCATCTTCAGGTCGGGCCTGAAGACCTTCCTCTTCGACCGTGGCCTACAGTCACCTCCTCTCCCTCCAGCTCGGCTTCATGCTCCGACACCGTGAAGCGCTGTGGGACACTACCTTGCGCGAGGGCGCTATATAATTGCCAATTGGCTGCCACGTTTCACCCACAAAATAAACAGTCACTACGCTTTGCAGTATATTCTGTGGCGCGCTTTGAGACGTCTTGAAGACGTGATAAGGCGCTGTATCAAACGCAAGGATTATTGTTACAAATGCAAGTTTGTTGTTATTTGATGCAATTTCATAAACAGCATTTTAATGCATTTAAGCATTCCACCTATCTTTTAGCCAAACTGCAATGGCCAAATGCCACTGCACTATTGCCTTCATATTCTGTTACCAATTCTATCGTGTATTGCACAGTTGTTATAGGCATTTTGGTGTCACTTGATGCCTGTTGAGGGTTTTCGGTTTGTAGTTTTCGTTGGATTACATTACCAGAAAATACGCAGCTGGAAAATTGTAGTTCACAAATAAATTATATTTATATATTTAGTCACATGTTGATTTATAAATTGAATTAACATTTTATATACTCAATCTCAGTCAGTCGTGGCTTTGTTTCAACACACCTAAACCTGGCGTAGCTTTTATTCGTCAGTTGTATTTAAATTAATGATCACTTAAGTCTGTAGGTTCACACCAGGGGGTTTAGGTTCAGTTCGTCAAGGTATCTGTCCTTGTGATTTTTAAATGAGAAACTTAAGCCTAAAAAGGGACATTGCTCCTCTTGCCCAGGAAAAGTTTCATAATTTCTTGCATTATCAACATCAACAAATGACATTTACACGGCGCCTTTCACGTCGGGAGGACGTCCCAAGGTGCTGGACAGTCAGGCATTTGGACCCGAGCTGGGGGTTGGGATCAGGAGGGGTGGAGGGCAGGGAGGGTAGGAGCAGACGGTGGAGTGGAGTTCCAATGGGTGGGGGCAGAGAGGCTGAAGACCTGACCGCCGGTGGTGAGGCAGGCAGACCGGGGACGTGGAGCCTGCTGAGCGGAGGGAGTGGGCAGGTCGATGTGGAATTAAGAATACTTCATGCAATTTGTTTAGGATCTCGCCAGCCCCACAAGCTGCGAGGAGGACAACCTCGTCCAGGTCGGAGTCTGGATCACCAGAACGGCTCTCCAAGAAAAGGCCGCTCACCTCCGTGTCCAGGTCACAGTCTGGCAGCAGGTCACCAACAGCGGCTGCTGCAACAGCGCCACCCGCCAAAAAGGCAAAGAGTGCTTCTCTCAGTCCATCTCCTGCCAAGGTAAGCTCATCATCACACCTTCCTTCCTCTTCTGGTCGGCATGTCTTGAGAACATTCAAGATCCTCGTCCTCGCGTTCAAATCCTTGCTCCTCCCTGATTGTCTAAGTGCGAAACCTTAGGCAAGTTTCCTTACTGCACTCCCGCACGCCTCTGTTTGCCCGCAGTAACTGGGAACCTGATTGGAGGATCGCTTTTCCAGCGGTAATAACCTCTTCAAAAAAATTTGCTCGGTCCATGACTGTTTGTGATCAGGCACTACATCAGATACGAGGATTATTATTATTACTGACCTGGCTGCTCCCTCTGCTCAGTGAACACTGGCCTGCTTCATGTACTCGACCCTACTATCGCTGGGTGAGCTGTTCAGCCATCCTGCCTCTTGGAATTCTTTCCCAGAGTTGCTCTGGCTTGACCCCACTCCCCCCCTCCTCGCTTTTTAAAGCCCCCCACCCCCACTTAAATCGTACCTCTGACCGCACATTCGGTCATCATTTTCTGATCGCTGAACTATCACTTGACAAATATGCAGCGTGATTACTTCTGTCAAAACTTTAGTGCTGATGTTTGACTTGACTGACTGAAAGTGCAGTAAAATACAATACAAAATGACAGAGCCTTTCACGTTGGGAGGATGTCCCAGGGCACTGGACGGTCGGGGATTTAGACTGTCCAATTTAGGCAGGTGCCGGTTGCTGTGAACGTGCTCTTTGCTAAGTGCGCAGCTTATAAATCTCTTCCAATGCAAAGTGTATACTTAGAATGCTGGTGTGACGGCTGTTTCTTGCCGACCTGCACTTCGAAATAACACTAACCCGTCCTGCGCAGGTGTCCGACCAGGAGGCCGGGGGCAAGAAGAAGAAGAAGAAGAAGGATAAGAAGCACAAGAAGGACAAAAAACACAAGAAACACAAGAAACACAAGAAAGAAAAAGCAGCGACACCACCAGTTGTTGCAGAGGAAACCTCAGTTCAGTCTCCAGCAAAGTCACCCCAGCCAACCCCAGCTGTAGAACCCAACAAGGTACTGTATGTCACTGCCTGGGACATATAGAACACCAAGTTGGAAGTTTCCAGGTTCTTCGGGCAGTAGCACAAGGAGTGCGCCCACAAAATACACAGTCAGTTACACTTTACGGCATATTCTGTGAAGCGCTTTGCGACATCTCGAAGACGTGATAAGGCGCTGTATCAAATGCAAGGATTATTATTTTTATTAATATTATTGCTTTATGTGGGAATGTATGGGCACAAGGTCCGATGACGTGCATTTATATTCGCAGCAAATGTGAGTTTCTAACAGGTATATTACGTTTGGATTCCAGCTTCTAAATTACATTTTTTATTGAATCAAATTACTCGACGGCTCGTGCTAAACTTCTTCAGAAAACACTGATTATAATAATAACGATATTCCTTGCATTTGTTATAGCACCTTCCGCATGAGGAGGAAGTCCCAAAGCTCCACACAAGGTATACTGCAGTGACTATGTGTTTTGTGGGCAAACTCGGCAGCCAATTTGCGCACAGCAGTGTCCCACAAACAGCCATGAGGTGAATGACCAATTTTATTCGGGGGATTATTGGCCAGGACACCAGGAGAGAGATAAGTTACTCCCTTCTCCTTTCAAATAGTACCACGGGGTCTAACATCCACCAGACAGAATAGGCAGACGGGACGTCAGTGTGTGTCTTCCAAAGGCCGGCACCTCCAGCACTGTACTGGAGTGTCAGCGTAGACGATAGCTAGGAGTTCCAAGTCCCGGTATTAATTCTTAAAACTAAATAAATCTGTTATTTGCAGGATTCAGGAAGTGAAGAAGAAAACCTGGATGATCTAGAAAAGCACCTCAGAGAGAAGGCTTTGCGATCAATGCGGAAGGCTCAAGCTTCACCACCGTTATGAGAGAGAACTTGAGTAAAACCTAACTTAATGGGGCTGAATGGATTAGACACAAGGGCTTTGTACATTTTAAAATTGGCTGCTGAGCGAATGAATGCCAGTACATTATGATGGCTGTTTCATAAACGTTGACACTGGCTCTTTTGCCTGTTTTTTTTTAAAAATAGATAATTCATAAGGCTGTATTATGTGTCATCACAATGGGGAAATAAATCTCTCGAACAGCTGTCATTTCCATGTTGATATGTTCCCTCATGTTTTAACCGCAATACTTTTATGAGGAAACCTCCCCCCTCTTCCCCCCTTTATATCTAAAGAGTGGGCGGAAGGTTAAGTAAGGTTGTGAGTCCTGGAGAACCTCATTGTCTGTGGCACCATCTGACTTGCCTCAGTTGGGCATGAGCTTCATCCGTTCTTAATGCTGTATTCGCAGAGAGTGCTGTAGAGCAGAGATCTGTTCCATTTCTTGTGGACGCGACTAACATCCCTCACGCTTCCTACCAGCCCAGCTGGTGTTGGAGCAGCCTAGATAAGAGACCATTGGAGACTGCCTGCCCTGCCCTGCCCTGCGCTCACCACTTGAAGGGTCTGTTTTGAGGTCAAGATTGCGGTGTCTTATAGGTAACAGCTTTTGATTCTAGGATTAGACTGAAGTGAAATAGGTGAAGTGAATTTGGAGTAAATCCCCCTCCTCCCCCCCCCCACCTCAAAAAAAACAAACATTTTAATTCTTTTAAAAATAAAACGCAGCCACAAACCGTGCTTAACTGGCTCCGAATCGACACCGTTCTCAGTTGAATCGCATTGAATGTGTGTGTTTTGCACCTTTTCTTCTCTCACGTTGGTGTTTCTTGGCTATCATTGTGTTATGGTATTTTATGACATCGTTTACGTAAGTGTACAAAAACCCTTGCGTTTAATCGAGCGAACTGAACTGAACTGATCCCGTAGTGTAGTTTCTGCAAGAGTTTTTTTTTGGAGTTTTATTTGAGCCGTTTGGATTATTCACCACATTCTTTACAAAGAGCTTCACGTGAAAATATGCTGTATCTAGAACACTGGAAGTTTCTTTTTTTAAATGAAAAATTGTTATAGGAAGAGGATGGTACGTACGGCCAGGATCTGAAGGATTTTAAGATTTCCTGGTTTACTTTAGCTTTGGATTGTACTTTGCTTTGTGTAACAGGCTGGTTTCACCCAAGCCGTTCGTGTCTTCTACTGTTACGGTTGTTCTGAGATTAAAAAAAAAACCTGTTTAGACGCTGTTCTTTTGTGGGAGCTTAACGGAATCTGTAATGAATATTTTGAATTTGTCATCTTTTGACTTCAAAGGGTTTTGTTTTTTTTATAAACGTTGAATTATAAAGCTGTAAAAAAGAAAAGCTGAGGTAATAAATGGAAATTAAATTTCTAAATTCAGTTTTCTTCGCCCTCTAATAGGCTCTTTTTTCCCACCCCCCACCCACCCCAAACCCCACGTTAGGTCATTGTGACAATGTTTAATAGTACACCGCGCGCGCGTGTGTGTGTGCGCGTACACGCACTTAAAGTAGTGGGTTACTGGGGATTGCCTTTGTGAATGTGGGAACCAAACCTGCACAAAGCAAAGTCCATCAAACAGTCATGAAGTTATTGAGCATTGAAGTTAATTCTACTTGGGGGTTGTTGGCCAGGACACCCGGAGAGATTACCTTCTCTGAAAGTTTCACGGTAGCAATTGAAGAGACTACGTTTGCACGATTTCTTCAGCTGAATCTTACAACGGTCAACAACACAACAAATTGCACATACAAAGCGCCATTCACACGGGGCCGCGTCTCAGTGGTGGAGCCGGGGGGGTGAGGGGGGTGACCATAAGCCCGGACGAAGAGAACGGTCTCGCATCGTCATTTAAGAGAGGGGAAGGAGACGGCAAGGCGGAGGGATGGCGGGAGAGAGTTCCAAAGCTTTGCGGTTGCAGTGGCTGAAAGCGAATCTCTCCTGACCTGCACTCTTTCAATTTTTTTTTTGATGCGATTGAAAGTTAAGAATTGTGACTAAATCCCACGATTACGGACAGACCTTGAGCCCAGGGAACGACTGGGGGAATTTTTAAAGCTCTTGTGTTTTTTGTCCTGCGGCTCAACAGGGGTCGTCGATTCGGTTTCGAAATCCAATCGTGGAGCTGGTTTCAGGAGCCAGGCTCGACATCAGACGTTGACGGAAGCCAGGCTTGTCCTGTGCCTTTCCCATTGCTTGGTAAACGGGAACCACATCCTACAGGAAAAAGACACCGTGGAGCGTATGAGTCCTCAGGTCCCTACCTTTAGAGGGCAGTAAAGTACTAAAAGAAAATTCAACACGTGCACTTCCTCCACTGGATCACTGGCCCTTTGTCCTTCTCACACACCCTTCGTGTCGTCAAGTGTCCCACAGAATGGCCTCGTACGCTCCTCGCATTCGATTATAGCGCTTTTCAGGTCATCTCGACGTCTCAAAGCGCTTCACAGAATACGCTGTAAAGTGAATTGACCGTATATTTGTGGGCGAAACGCGGCGGCCGATTGCGCACAGCAGCGTCTGTCCCACAAACAGCCGTGGATTGAAAATGACCAATTTATTGTTGTTTTGTTTTGGAGGGATTATTATTAGGTGCTTACTATTAGGTGATTATTATAAGGAAACTTATAATAATTAATATACGAAACTTGTGATATATAATATAAGAAACTTGCCCAAGGTTTCGCCCTCTGCCTGGAATTGAGCCCAGGTGTCTCGCTCGCAAGGCGAGTGCTCTAACCACTGAGCTACAGAACTCCACATAAATTTATACAGCGTCCCCTCACACAGGGCAACGTCCCGGAGCGCTTCATGTTGCAAAAGCAAAGTCCACCTGTAATACGTCGGTCCCTGTGTGTCTTTAGTGCGTCAGGACAGCTACTTCTCACACCTCCAGTGCTGCGATATCGTTTTCGTGCTTCATTCTCGTGCCGCTCCTTAACATTCAAGCTACAAAATCCGTTCAGGGTTCCCCGCTTCCGGCTTCACAGACAACTTCTGCACATGATTCACTTGGGAAGCATCTGATTTCTCTTCAAATCCGCACGCAGGTTTTAAACGTGGCGGTATTTAATGTTCGTCCGGCTGTAAAGTGATTGAATGGGACCGAGGTGCAAACATGTATCGCAAATATAGGAAATTGCTGAAAAAGATCTGCAAAATATTCTGCGTCTGAAATGAATTATAATTCAGCCACTGAAGCTGATAATGTCTGCACATGCTTAGCATATATAAACTGCACAAATTCAATTGGCTGTTCTGTTGGCCCCCAATTCCCAATGGAGATGTGGATCTCTGGACCTGTTTGAACATCAAAACAGCACAGCATCCAATTTTGGGGGTTCTGTTATGTTTTTAAGGGAATCATGTAACGTCAGCCCAAACCATCTAATAATAGCTGGCAACGGCCTGTAACAGGAAACCTTATGTTGCGAAACAAACCCTACACAATAATTCCCTGCTCTCTCTTCCCTATTCCAGAATGCATTCAAAAGTTTCCTATATTTTTAAATCACAATGATTATCATACTGCAATCGTCAAAATCAAATGCTAAAGCTGTTTTATTCAAATCTCTTATCTCAATACAGGTTTCTATCCGCCCTGTATCGTAGACATGTTATGGTTTATCTCCCGCTCGCAACAATACAAATTCACTAATATATATATAACGCCTTTTCACGTCCTTTAAAGATTGTCCTTTAAGAGATGGGAATCGTCAGGAATGAGTTCTCCAGAGAGACATTAAGATTCACCGTGAATGAGTTTAAATTAATACCACAACAAGATATGCAGCTACCTTTTTTAAATAATAATAATAATAATAATCCCTGATTTAATACAGTGCCTTAACACGTCTTCGAGACGTCTCAGAATTCTTCACGGATTACACTGTAAAGTGAATTGACTAGACTTTGTGGTCTTATTTAGCAGCTAAATAATTGTTGTTAGTGTGATGTCTCATGGATAAGGATTGCTTCTGTTTTCAGACGTATCCACTGGGTTGCCAGGCAATGAGCCATGAAAAAAAAAAGGAATGTTTGGGATTCGCACAAGGAACGGATGCATTGTTCATCCCAGTGTTTATTACCCAGACAGACTGCAGTGCGGCTAGACAAGGTGAGATTGGTGCTTTAATAAGGTTTGTACTGAATCAAGAAGCTTTATCAGCATCTGCGAGGTTCAAAAGGAACATCTGTATCTCAAAGGAACATTTCTGCTTGTCACAAGAGATTACGTCCGAGCAAACAAAGAAAATCTTGAGTCACACATTAACGTTGGACCAACAAATATTTGGAGATGTGAACAGTTAAAGCCGTTTGCCTTTAATCGGGTTCTGTATTGGCTGGCTCCAGATCCGAGCCTCGAAACCCAGCAAACAAACTGCCTGCACCTCCGTGATCTGGACTGCCTGATCCACGGATAAAATGTCCCCACATTATCTGATTTTTTTTTATTATTTACATATGGCACCCAGACATTGCCAAGACTCCCACCTGGAGAGAGTGGTTTAGAGATGTCATATTGTAAGTGTCTAAATACTATTAGGTGACAGAATATTTTTTTCCCCCCCCCGTTTCACTCTTATTTTTCTCTCCTTCTTTCACCTGACACCATGCGCTTACCCAGTACTTTGTTTGACCAATTAACCATTTTTCGTGACGTGAGTGTTGATACACGAGCTATATTTGCCACAACGCTTCGCAAAATATACTGTAAAGTCGAGTGACTGTGTATTTGGTGGGGCAAACGTGACAGCCAATCGCTTTCCTATTTTGAGTTGTCAAATTCCACCATGTATATTTTAATACCGATGACAAATAAAGTGGATAACAAAGGGAAGTACGACTCACTGTTTAATCATCACAGCCCTAGACTTTACCCCAGATTCAATTAGTGTTTTGCTTGTTCTACAGAAACCAGTCATTTGATTTTCAGCTTCTCCATTCGGGTTTAATGTGTACAGATTTGTACAATACGGTGCTGAGACATGAAGAGTCCACCAGGATCCACGTTCAACTATTACTGGCTCGAGGGTGAACGACTAGCTCACATCGTGTGCTTTAAATGTTTGAATCTGAAGAAGTTCTGAGATTCCAGGCCATACTCCAGTTACATATTCGGTGTCCTGCCTCGTTTGAGTGGGTTTCGGCGTTCTCCGCTGGACTGATAAGAGTGCTGTGTTGTGGTGAAACCCTGCCGCTTGCAATGGGGAAGGGTACAGGGGGAATGAAGAGTCTACGCCCACAAAATATACCGTCACCTCACTTTACAGTGTATCCCGTGAAGCGCTTTGAGCCGTCTCGAAGACGTGATAAGGCTCTATACCAAATGCAAGGATTATTATTATTATATTCTCCCGCTTCCCCAATGGACTACCCTATGCCGCTGAGATGTAAAAATTGTGAGGGTCCCACATTCAATTTCTGGTTTGAGTTTTGAGGGTTTATTTTATACGGTGGGGCCCTTGATTTCCTCTTCAATTCCATTCCAAGAAAACATTAAGCGCCAGTCGCCTGAAATCTGACCTGGTGTTTAGTGTGACTTGCTTTGCATCAAATTTGCCTGCCATAAGGTCAAAGATTTGTTTACTTCTAGTCATTAAAGCCATTTAATATATTTTATTACATGTTTCATTTTCCTTAGATGCAAGTGACTGTCTATCTGCATCAAATTCGCAGATAAGGAGTGTGGAACTCACTATTATTGGTTTGAGCAAATGTATATGATTACCTCTCCAGTTACCAGCAAAATAGAGTTACACCCATAGATGGGATAATTCAGCCTCAATCTTCAACTCACTCCCAGTAATTTTCATTTGTATCGTTTTGTCACCTGAATTTTTCTTGAAAAAGAAAGAAAAACAGTTTAAAGTTGGTTGTTTTGATGTGTTGAAGCTTCCCCGTAGCTTTGGGCAGATGTCGATTGTGCAAAAACAACACGGATGTGACGATATAAACAGCAAGCAGTGACTTTCATGTATGGGGGGGGGGGGACATTTGGCCACTCAATCCACAACGGTTTGTGGGACACTGCTGTGGTAATTGGCTGCTGCGTTTCGTCCACCAAATACACACTTTACAGTGTATCCTGTGAAGCGCTTTGAGACATCTCAAAGACGTGATCAGGCACTGTATCAAATGCAAGGATTATTATTATATAGATATACCTCTATATAAACACCGGAATAATAATGATATGTTCCAGCAGCCCCCACCTCATCATTCTCCCCGCTGTTTAATCAGTCAGGTTAACCCGGGATTTCTAAAACACGGGGATTGTTCAGATTTGCCCATTTTTGTGGTCTTGGGGCTGTGTCTCATTTGTTGATTGTTCGTGATTTATTCTTGAAGCTCTCCCACACACTTTCCCTTCCCCTCCCTCTCTCAGCATTGCATGACATCATTAGCTTTAAATAGTCCAGCTGCTTTATTCTCTCTCTCTCTCTCTCTCTCAGGCTGAGTTGGTGTGTTCTGCACAATGACCATGTAGAGTGAGTGAGTGAGTCAGAGAGAGCAGAGGAAACTGTAAAGCTTTCCAGACAGACACCACCCAACCCAAATGAACCAGAGGCTGAAATAAGACTCCTTTGAGACAAGGATTTGGAGGAGCATCATCTACAAGGAGAGAGAGAGAGACAGTGAAAGCCTGAACCACACTGTTAGGACTTGGAACAGACCAGAGAGAGAGAGAGAGAGAGACACACACCCATACAAAGGGGGGATTTTCTTCTCTGCTCAAGACTGGATTGTTAGCAGCTGGTGTGAGTGTGTGAGTGTGAGTAAGTGAGTGTGTGAGTGTGAGAGAGAGAGGGAGAGAGCTGAGACACAGAGAGGAAGAAAAAAGCCACAGAGAGAGAGGAGGGCATCAGTGGACTGTTTCACAAGAGATCTTGGAAGTTCCTTTGATTGAATATGGCTCATTCAACCCCACAGAACGGAGTGGAAGGACACAAGGACCCATTGATAGAGTTATTTGTGAAGGTAAGAGAGGCACTGAGGCTTGGGCTGGAGCACAGGCAGCAAAACTGGAGCTGTGTCTGTCTGAAGCTTTGCCCTTAATGCATTCGTTTGCTTTTTCTCTCCTTGCCTTTCCCCCCCTCCTTTACAACCACTGTTATTTCACCAGAATCCAAGCTATTCTGTAAAGGGAGGGAGGGAGGGAGGGAGGGAGAGAGGACTTCTGCCTTCAAACGAATCGAGATAATTGCAGATCCCAATAAAGCCAAAATTGCTTCCTGTAACCATGATTATATTATGATGACTTAATTATACTTTGATTAGTTTTTTTTTGGGGGGAGGGGATTTTTTTTGTTATTATTTTACCTTTATTAGTTTGCTGCAGTCAGTCAGTGAGTGACTGTCTGGCTGATGGGTATTGGCAGCTAAACACATGAAAAGCGATGTGCCTGTGCTGTACAATACAGAAAGGTTTACTGATAGATGGATGTGTGGGTGGGGGGGAGTGAAATGACTGTCACTCTGGTTAGAGTGGACAGAAAAAAATGCTCCCTATTGCTCTGTGTGTAAAAGGGGGTTTTACTGTGGCGTTAATGAAGAATAAAGCACTATGTCAGGGGGAACTGGGAAGTGAAGTGGCTCTTTTTTTTGTAGAGACTGAGCGAATTGCAAGCAGCAATCCATTCGCTCTCCACGTTATAATAATAATATTCCCGGCATTTGACACAGCGCCTTATCACGTCTTCGAGACGTCTCAAAGCGCTTCACAGGATACGCTGTAAAGTGATTTGACTGGAACCAATTCGGACTTAGTTAATTGCTACACCCAGAAACTCTGGAACTCTCTCCCTCAATCCCTCCGCCTCTCCCCCTCCTCACTTTCAAATCTCGCCTGAAGACCTACCTTTTTTTGATCGTGCTTACAGTCACCACCCCCCTCCCCTCTCTCCCCCCCCCCCCGGCTCCCAGGCCAGACCCCGCCACTGTCAAGCGCACTGGGACCCTTTCCCGTGCGAAAGGCGCGCTATAAATCCAAGTCGTTGTTGTCGGTGGGTGGGTTCAAACGAAGCAGCTTTGTGGGTTAGTCGGCACTCGGCGCAAGCCAACAACGCACCAGATTCCCTTTAGCCTCTGGCCATCAAAACACCAGGTTTTCTCGATTCCACTTTAATGTGGTTTGGGGTGTGGTGTTATCCAAGTTAGTTGCAGATTAACAGGAGAGTTTAAACTGTAACCTCAAACTAGCTCCAGTCACAGTATTTGGTTATGCGCATTGTTTAAACCTCCTACTTCCCACCCTTACCTCCCTCTCCCCCCCCCCCCCCCCCCACCTGCCTATCCCCATCTCCCCTCTCACCCACCCGGCTCGGAGTCAGGCTCTGCCAACTGTTAAGCACTCCGACACGCTGCCCTGTGTGGAGGGTGCTGTATAAGTGTGAGTTGTTGTTGTTGTTCTCTCGGTCACGCACTCCTTTTAGGTCTTGTGTACAAAAGTCTTTTGAATTTCGCCCACAAAATACTCAGTCGCTCCACTTTACAGTATAGTCTGGTGAGACGTCTCAACGACTTAATAAGGTGCTATATCAAATGCCAGGATTATTATTAAGGTTTTTTCCCCTCTCCTGGGAAACAGACAAGTCTGGTTTAAAGATCTTAACCAAAGTTAGAATGATAATATAATTCCTGATTCCTAAATGGCGAGCTTTATCCTGTGTTAAATGTCCTCTCTCACATAGCTCCGTGACTATCACCCTCGCCCAGCTTCACTGGGTCTCCCCCACCAGGAGGATACAGTTCAAAATCCTCGCCTTCAAAACTCTCCACGGCTCCTTGCTCCTTCCTGTTCCTGCTCCACATCTCCCATCCGGTCCAGCCCACCATCGGTGGTCAGGCCTTCAGCCTCTCTACCCCCCCCCACCCCAGCCTTTGGAACCCAATCCCACAGTCTCTTCGCCTCACCCCTTCCCTCGCCACCCTCAAGGCCCATCTCAAGACCTTCCTCTTCGACCGCGCCTTCAGAAATCCTCCTACTCCCTGCCCTCCACCCCTCCTGATCCCAACCCCCAGCTCGGGTCCAAATCCCTGACTGCCCAGTGCTTCCTGACATGAAGGGTGCTATATAAATGCAAGTCGTTGCCAAATAGTTGTTGTGGTGACATCCATTTCTCTTCCCCCTCATCCTCTGGGGTCGGGGCAGAGGGAGAGAGGGGCGGAGAGAGGGGGGTGGGTGGGCGATACGGGTCTTGCTGTCACCTTATCAAATGAACTTCATTCCGACATTACAGTGGGCTGTGGTTGCATAGTTATGTGATGTGAGCAGTGAATGAGTCTGAGTCAATTTATGACCTTATCAGCACAAGCCCAATTCAGAAAAAAGGAGACTGACCTCAAAAGTATTATAAAGGATTAGTCACCGGGGTTTCAAATGTTTCCTCTTCATTGTTCATCTTGGGATCTTTGCCATCCTGAGGAATCTCATCCCTACCCTTTCTCCTTCCTGTCTGACACGTGTGGAAACCCAGTACTGTGTATGACGGTATATGATCTGGCTTGACCGGGCGGCTGTTGAGGGCTGATGTGTGCGCTGGCCAGGCAGAAAAATGAATAATGACCACTTGAGTGTCTTCCTCTGTTTACCCAGCAGTAAGTAGGACCCGGGTTATTAGACGATTGGTAGATCGCTTTTCCGGGGGTAATAATTCCTTCCAAAAAAAAATAGTGCTAACTTGGTCACTTCAATCCATCCACTGCTGTGCGCCATTGGCTGCCACGTTTCGCCCACAAAAATATGGTTTAAATTTATTTTGATTTTCAAGAGTTTATTAGCCCCGGAAAAGCCATCCGCCAATCTTCCAAGAGACACTAGATAGGGACGTGTGTGTGCTGTGCGTGTGTACCTTACCTTCCATTGGTGACTTGACCTGTGCACCACCATCCTGCATTGTTTTCAGATTATGTGCTCGCACTCTCTCTCCCTCTCTCTCTCTCTCTCTCTCTCTCACATGCTGTGTGCTGGAATCCAGTCCTGTTCTGATATATGTTGTTAACTGCCAGCAGTTGACCTCATTCAAGGCAGGAATGTGTCCCAGGGAGGCCTGGAGACGGCTGAGGGTTTTACTAGGGCTCCTCCACTGGATCCTTGAATGATTTTTTTTACACACACACACACACACACACACACATCCGAGTAACGGCTATCGTCAAACCAAGGACTGTTTTCTCGTGTGTAAAGCCGGTGGAAGGAAGGGTTTTACCGTGGAAGGTATGAAGAGTAACTAATGGTGGAGCTGGTGAAGTGGGCACCGATCTGATTGTCTTCTATTTGATTGTTCCTGGACTTCAAAGTCAGCTGCTCTAATGCTGCCCTGGTGATTTACTGCTGACCTATTAATGAATATTCATCTTAAGGCTCCAGCTCTTTCCTGATCGAGTCAATGCTGCCTCCAGCCAAGTCTGAAATAGTTAGGAGACCGATTCACCAGTTTCAACCCCTCTAAATTGATTTCCTGGCTCCCAACCAACAAGCTATCAATTGGCTGCCGCGTTTCACCCAAAAACATGCAGTCAATTCACTTTACGGTCGTTTCTCCGAAGCGTTTTGAGACGTCTCAGAGACGTAATAAGGCGGAATATCAAATGCAAGGATTATTATTATTACTTAGATGTTATGGGCGTTGCTCCAAATATTACACCCTGGCTAGATATTTACATATTATGTAGTTGTATAATAATACTGATAATCCTTGCATTTGATACAGCGCCTAATCAGGTCTTCGCGACATCGCAAAACGCTTCACAGAATAAGACCATAAAGTGCGTTGACTGTAGCGTTAACTGCAGCAAGTGACAAAAAACAGACTCCCATCAAATATATCATGGCTCGACAGAATGGAACCCGTTAACTCCTTCTAAGGAGATTATGTATCTGTGTTTCTGTGCCAGGCAGCTTGAAGAGACTTCCTCTCTCAGTGCGTTGGGGTGGGGAGGGGGAAAGCAAGTCAACGTGTAAGCTGGTGACCAGTAACTGAGGAAGACAGCAGGAAGATGGCGTGGGATCTGATGTGATTAAGTTACATAAACTCCAATCAGACCAACAACCTCATATGAACCTCAAATGTGCAGATCTGCTCTCTTAACTGTTAGACAGAGTTATTTTTCTAGTACGGTGGTTCCAGCAGCTCCACGTTCCCCGGCCGGCCACCCACCATCGGAGGTCTGGCTTTCATCCTTTCTGCCCCCACCCTTTGGAACTCCATCCCACAGTCCCTCCACCTCGCTCCCTCCCTCCCTCCCTCCCTTTCTCCTTTGAGACGTCTCAAAGCTCGTCACAGAATATACTGCAAAGTGAATTGACTGTGTATTTTGCGGGCGAAACGCGGCAGCCGATTGCACGCAGCAGCGTCCCCACATTGGATTGAGCGACCAAATTATTTGCATAGATATATATTCTTTTAAGAGATTATTACCCTCAAGAATGTAACCTGCCAATCGATTAACAACCGGGTTACTGCTAGGGAAACGGGTATTTCGCCCACAAAATATACAGTCAATTCACTTTACAGTATACTCTGTGAAGCGCTTTGAGACATCTCGAAGATGTGATAAGGCGCTGTATCAAAGGCAAGGATTATTATTATTATTATTATTATTATACCCTGGTTTGCGAACCAGTGCAGGCTCGGCTATGATTAAGCTGCCGGACTTTGACCACTTTGGCATTGTGGGGACACTCTGTTCTTTTCTCCCACAAAGACTGGCACCGCATTCAAAGGGAAACTCGATGACTTTCAAGAAAATCTTGCCAACGCTTTGCAGAAAGCTCAGAAGTTGGCATGAAGGCTGGTCACTATGAGGGAGTGAGGTGGAGGAAGCAGCAAAGCCTTTGAAAAGGAAATTGCTGGAACCTTTCAACCAGCAGTCACATTTTGAACGTGTCACGTGTGATAGTAAATACATGTAACAATAATAATAATTCTTGCATTTGAGAGAGGGCCTTATCACGTTGTCGAGACGTCTCAAAGTGCTTCACAGGATACACTGTGAAGTGAATTGATTATATTTTGTGAAAGAAACACGACAGCCAATTGTGCATATTACATATATTAAGTAAGACAATTATATATATTACGTAAGTATAATTTGTGTTTGTATATATATATTCACTACGTACAAAGTACAGTCACTACACTTTACAATGAATCTTGTGATGCACTTTCGACGTCCTCCTGACACGAAGGCACTAAATCAATGTCAGCAATCAGCATATTCCTTCAAAAAAAAATTTTTGTGTGGGGGGGTGGTGGTGTGGTGTGGGGGGAGGAGGAGGAGAACTGGTGGAGTGCAATCAGCAGAGCATTTTAATTCAACGTGACCCCAGTTTTACAAAACCACTGATTTTTTTTTCAGACGATTCTTTTTATTTGTTTTGTACTTGGTCCTTTTTCCATCTGCGCTGTGCTGGGATTGAAGCCATGGAGTTACTGGTCAAACCTCGTTGCCAAAGAATGTTTTATAATGTGTGTGCCACCCAGTCCCTTGTGAAGTGGGTTTGTGTGCGTGCGTGCGTGTGTGTGTTTGTGCGCACGTGTGTGTGTGTTGTTTGTGTGTGTGCGTTTATTGGAAAAAAAGACTTGGAATTCCGATTTCAATTGAGCGCTTTATTTAGTCGTTATCCTGAGACAATAAAAATAATCCTGGCATTTGACACAGCGCCTTATCGCGTCGTCGAGGCGTCTCGAAGCGCTTCACAGAATACACCCGTAAAGTGTAGCGACTGTATATTTTTGCGGGCGAAACACGGCAGCCAATTGCGCCCGGCGACGTCCCCACAAACCGTCATGGATTGAGCGACTTTTCTTGGAGGGATCATTACCTCCCAAGAAATTATCACCGCTGCTGTGCAGACGGTCTGCGGTGAAGGTGCCTTCTTGTGGGGGTGAGAGGGCTGTAAAATCGTGGGAACGGTTTCTGCCCTTTGTACAAAGAAATCGCACGCATTTCGCTCACCCCCAATATCTTGTAACCTCCGCGCTGTGAGGCTTGGATCGTTTGCTGACACCCCCGTCGCCCCCCCCCCCCAGCCCCGACGCAGCAGATTAATGTACGGTAACGTCTTATCAAACGTCGGTTCTGTCTGACGAGGTGCGGGGTGTTAATCGCACGGCACTCAAACTCTTAAACCCAGACGGTGTTAGTATTCCCGGGATGTGTGGCGTGACTCTCTGGTCTCCCTTGGCAACTGAAATATTGCGGGATAATGGAAGGCGGCTGAACGAGAGTTCCCAGACTGATTAAAAGGTTGTCGCTGAATTGCTCTGCAGACGTGGAACCTTTCGCATGACTTGCTCCAGCACAAAATGTACTCGCGGTTTTTTTTTGGGGTGGGGGGGGGCGTTTTTTTGCGGAAGAAATCGTTTCTCGATCTGAAGACAAAAGCCCACGTGTGGCAGCCTGGGACCCAAGCTTCGCGCTCTGTCTGCTTCCTGCTCAATCCGATCCCAGACGAGGTCAGTTGTTGCCAGGAATTCAGCCTCTCAGACGCACGCATTCAGTCAAGAAGTTAACCAGCACTTGTAGACTTGGGCCTTGCACTGGACCAATAATAATAATAACAACAGCAATAATAATCCTTGCATTCGACACAGCGCTTCATCACGTCTTCGAGACGTCTCAAAGCGCTTCACAGAATATACCGTAAAGTGAATTGACCGTGTATTTTGTGGGCGGAACACGGCAGCTGATTGCGCACAGCAGCGTTCCCCACGAACAGCCGTGGATTGAGTGACTAAATTATTCTATCTTTTATTTAAAGAGATTATTATCCCCAGAAAACCGATCCGCCAATGGATGAACAGCCGGGTTCCTACTCACTGTGGAGTCCTGTAGCTCAGTGGTTAGTGCACTCGACTCGCAAGCGAGAGACTTGGGTTCGATTCCCGGCCGGGCAAAATCTTGGGCAAGTTTCCTTACTCCACACGCCTGATAATAATCCCTCAAGAAAAAAACAAAAGAATAATAAGTTGGTCACCCAGTCCACAACTGTTTGTGGGGACGTCCCTGTGCGCCATTGGCTGCCGCGTTTCACCCACAAATATACAGTCACTTCACTTTACAGTCAATTCTGTGAAGCGCTTTGAGACGTCTCGAAGACGTGATGAGCCGCTGTATCAAAAGCAAGGATTATTATGTTATATTATTACTGCTAGGTGAAGAGAGGCGTGTGTGGAGTAAGGAAACTTCCCCAAGGTTTCGCTCTGCGGGGAATCGTACCCGGGGTCCTCTCGTTTGCGAGGCAGGTGCTGTAACCCCTAAGCTACAGGGCTCCACTATGGACAAGACTGTCACTTGGTTAGCGCTGGTCTAATATGGCCATAACTGTAGCCAGTGTTGCACTAGTTTGGGCGCCAGTGTTGCACATTTTGTCTCATTTTGTGGCTGAGGGGCTGTCGAGCTGAAATCCTTATCAGGAAATTCCATTGCAAATATTTTATTGGGCTTCTCTGGTTCTCCTCACAGCAGTTTGGAGTTTGGGAATTCTGGCCTGTACTGTGTGTGGTGTGTGGTGGGTGTTAGGCCAGACCTGCGGTTTGGGTTTGGGTTTCCTGATTTCTGATCGTTTTTAAAAAGTTGTCGGTGTGCACTGGTGATCTCGTGAGCATAAACCAACTCGGTGTAAATAATGTTGAGGTGAACAGTTTACTTTCTCTCCCCCCACTCCCACCCCAAAAGAATCATGATAATAATCCTTGCATTTGACACAGCGCCTTATCCCATCGTGTTGACGTTTCAAAGCACCTCATAGGATACACTGTAAAGTGGAGCAACTGTATATTTTGTGGGCGAAACGCAGCAGAAAATTGCGCACAGCAGCGTCCCCACGAACAGTCGTGGATTGAGTGACCAAATTATTCTTTTTCCTTAACATTGTAGGCGCTGCATCAAATTGAAGGAATAATGTTGCACGCCCGTATTTGAATGCGTA